CTTAAAAGTTAAAAGACCCTTTATTCCAAAACTTATCTAATAAGTTACGGTTTTGGAAAAGTAATATGTATTCAACATAAAATACCAATTCAAAAAATGTGTTTAGTTTGCAACCAAACTTAAAAAAGTTTATAATGTGGTACTTTTTGTCAACATTATGGTATGAATCATAAAAACATACTCCGTTTTCAACTTTGACTAGGAGCATAAAAGGTATTGGTTTTACCATGTGTTTTTGTTTCGTTGTTTGTTCATAACAACTGAGTAGATGTTAATACTTAAACAATACATACATACTAAAAAACACCTTAAAGTACTATTAAGTATAAACCACAATACCGTTACATGAAAAACATATTTAAACATATTTTAAAGTAATGATACAAGCCCCCTCACGGCCGTAGGAAATATTTTTTCGCTATGTCGGCTACATTGCCGTGTAGCTTAACTTCTCCCCTTTGAAATAAGACCAAAATGATTTCAGTACGTTGAAAACTTTGGTCACAGGGATTTTTCTCGTGAAATATGTCGATCAAGTCTGCCGCCAGATTTTGGTCTTATTTCGAAGGGAACGGAATATGTTTTTATGATTCATACCATAATGTTGACAAAAAGTACCACATTATAAACTTTTTTAAGTTTGGTTGCAAACTAAACACATTTTTTGAATTGGTATTTTATGTTGAATACATATTACTTTTCCAAAACCGTAACTTATTAGATAAGTTTTGGAATAAAGAGTCTTTTAACTTTTAAGAAAAGAACAGAGATTGTCGACCAAGACTGTTACAGTTAAATATTACTTCATTTATTTTTCCTATTTTAAACATATTTATGTATAAATTGATTGTTAATTATTATTGCTATTATTCATTACAACACCTAGAAGGAGGTCTTTATTTCTTGTTTTTCTTATGTATGAGTACTAAAGTCGAAAAACAAATACTAAAATCACATCTGTGACCTTATTACAATAACAAGTTCTTCTGAAATCGCAAACATCTGGCTAAACACCTATGGCCTATGTATCATAAAAAAAAAAAACCGCTGAATAATTTACTTTTAAAAGATATACCTTCTCAGCTAGGCTATAAGCTAATAGGAAAAAAACCAAAAGTGTTTTCATTAACCACAGGTCTTCAACAATTACTATAACTGAAAGTGCACTTCACTTTCTTCTTACTTCTTACTGTGCTGGATAAATATGATTAAAAAAAATCAAAGCTAAAATGTTTATCAGTAATCAACAGTTTCCTTTTATTTTCCATTATTTTGTTTAGTAAACTTAACTAATAGTGAACATTTATAATTCGTATAATTACTTGATTAAATACGACATAATGTAAAGATGAATTTACACAATGTAAGATAAAATATTCCCATCAATAATTTTTTTTCCCATAGACATTAATTTCGATGAACAATAATTTTTAATATTTCTTAAAGACTATAGAATCATATTTATCATAAATCATATTTTCTTTCTGCCAGTATTAATTATCGTTTTTATATAACGGCTATATATTTTCTTGTTAGAACTCGTCGTCTGCCTGCAGCATACGGGAAGCTTTCAACAGGCTTCTGCATATTAAGTGAAGAGGGGTGCCGGGTAGTACTAGTCCGTTATTTTTCGACGCTAATCTGTTAGCAGCGTCGTAGGCCATTTGTGAAAGTGTGTTTTGTGTTGTTACCTTGATTTCCTTCAACTTGTCCACGTGCAGTGTATTCGATATGCGTGCGTTGTCCAGGATGTCCTTAAACTCGGTGACAATGTCGTTTTTTATGTTAGCGATTTGCTGGCTAGCCGTCAGTTTGTCCACGTCTTGCACCTCTCTGGGCGGATCGGTAACGAAAAAATACAGTCTCAGAATGTCTCTTATGTCCAGGGCACTGTTGTACAGCACGCCGACCGAGTTGTTTAGTAAATGCTCGCCGATCTGAATAAAGTCGATGAGGCATATCAAAGACCCGACTCTGTTGTCGTCGACCATTTGTAAGCTGGATAATAAATACTCTTTTAAAACGCCCAGCAAGCCGTCGCGAAATATCTCCGTCTCTTTGCCCGTCTCTTCCACGTGCGCGTATTCGGGATTCGCGTGTCCGTTTGTCCGGCTGCAAGTTGCCGGTTCGCCGTTAGTTTTCAGCACCGGAGCCATCTTAATATGTTGCCCGGCGGGGTTTACTTCATTTCCAAGTTTGCTGTTCACCGCGAGCCTTCCGAGATTTGCCCCGCCCGGAGGAGCCATCCTAACGTTACTGTTCAGCACAGGCGGTCGGTTAGCAGTTCTCGCGGGAGCCGTTTCCAACCGAAGGTATTGCTGATACACGCCGGGCTGCGGCACTCATGGTCGCCACATTAGCCGTCGCTAAATGACAGCACACAATGCAGTGTAAGGCTATCGAAAAATACAATACGGGCCGCATAGTTCTGCGGTATCGAACGTGTACTTTGAGCGTTTCCGTCTTCGGCAATGGACAATAATTAACAGCACAAAGAGCTGTGTTTGGGCGGCTCGTGCGATTTAGGTTACACACTGTTTGCACAGTCGTTCTTGCCGGTTTTTGTGGCATAAACTCAACAATAAAGTTTACCCGCAGCCAAGACGTTTAAGCAACGTGTTATTGAATGTTCAAAGCAGCTGCGAGTCACATTTAGCGAGGAAACATTTTCGTTAGATTTCAAACTAGAGCGTTTGATTGAAAACAAATACACCTTGACGTGTAGGTACTCGCCAACTTGGAAATGGACATTTTCTAGATGACCCAGATCGTATATGGCTTACGCGGTGACCGACTGTTACCAGCTGAAATTTATTGAAATTACAATTTACCTATTTTCCTTTACGTTTGAATAAAAATTGTTAACAGATTGTATTATGTTCTCTAAGCGAGTATACAAAAACTGTTTGAGAATAGGAAAAATTCAACGTTTTTCAATATTAATATCTATAGCAAAAACCAAAGGCCGACTTCCGACGAAATTTTAACTATAATTTTGACGGTAATTCGAAAAAGGAAATATCTGTAAAAGCAACAAGTATTTGATTGAATTAACCAAAAAAAAAAAAAAGACAGTTAAAAGTTAATAAACTGATTTTGTTGAATTTACGTGACTAACCGAATATATTTAAAACATCTGATTAAAATTACCTAATAAGTATAAAAGAAAATTATCACGCATAACACATATATGTAATTGGTATTTTTTGGAAAAGTTACTTATGCATACATTTAAACAAATTTAATCTATTAATAATTACAAAAGTATCATAAAATGCATACTAAGGAGGGGGTGAGGAATCGAAGAAAATATTATTTTGGTCGCCCTAAGCTAATTTGATAATATTTTACCTATTTATACAAATTAATGATTATTAAAACAAAATGTTTAAATAAATAAAATCATGTTTATTTATTCTTAAATTAAAGGGGCTTGTTACAAAATATAATTGATTTTTTTACAGTGGTTTTTGTTCAGTGGAGTGTACACCAAAAAGACGTGGCTTTCATCTTATTTAGTCATTTTTTTTAATGTACTGTTTAGACTTTAGAATATCAATTTTACATTAAATTTTAGCCAATGCAAATTGTAATTCTCAATTTATAATTTTTACACGTGCCTACTACCTACACAAAAAAATGTCTTCAAGGTGTTTTTTCATATATTTTCAAAAGCTGTTAATCTCGATTATTTAAATTAGAAGCCTAACATAGCATGTTTTTAAGCATTTTCAATGTAATACACAATATGGTTTACAAAAACAACATATTGTATTGATTTTGGATAGCACTTGAAATATTCATCTGTGAAATAGTACAGTTAGGAGCATTTTAGGTTACAATGACCTAGTTCTTAGTTTCTTAAATACTTAATTATTTACCGAGATTTAACGTTTGAATTGAAAAAATTATCAGATTATTGCCAAAATTTAAAGGCTATTTAAAAAAAAAAAACTAGCCTAAAATCTGATGCAAATAATAAAAAAATAATCAATGCACACCGTGGTTATGATAGTAAAATAAACAATCTATACATATTTGTAAATGTCCTTAAAAATCGCGTTTAAGATTTTTTTGAGACAAAAATAAAAACGACGAACGACGGCAACAAATTAAGTATATTTTTAAATGGAGGTTTTCTTATAGAATGACATGCGTTATTTAAATTGGTATTACATATATGAAACATATGTAATATTTTCATTAGATAATTTTGGTTACTACTACATAGGCCATAGTCAAAGCTAATATTTTTAAAATTGAATTCCTCAGTATTTTTCTTATTTAGTGTCAATATAAGTACTCATAACAATATAGACTACAGGGTGATCCACTTATCGACTATCGTGAACCACTCAATATCTCATAGGGTTTAATACTAAAATAAAATGTTTTTTTTTCATATTCGTGAGTTAACTAACTAAACTCTCAAATTGCAACGTACAATATTGTTAATTAAAAAAGGCACAACGCTGAGATTTGACTACCATTATTAAAAAAAAATAATAGTCTAACTGCTAACAGAATATCTAAAAAAAGGGGGTTCCCATTCAGAAACAGCTAGTCAGATATATTGTCAAAGAAATAAAAAACTAAATAATAATAATTCGCAAAATGCCTTAATAGAAAAAAGTTTTAGTAACATTATTATATCATCACACATTAATTATATTCGACCTTCGTACACAATAGTTATCAAACTGTCTATTTTTTTACCTTCTTTAACTTTTCTTTTAATATATAACTAAACTTAAACTTTAAAATATGATTTTGCTTTAAATAAAAAAATAAAAAATTATAACAACTTTTGAGTCTACAAATATAACACATAATGTTTTTTTTTTTTTAAAATTAAAACTGTTTTATGAAAATAAAAATGTTTTTCATTTTAATTCAAAAATATAGTATCTTCATACCTTAGCTTAGCATTAGCGGAATACCCGGAGTTAGAAAACTACTTGGAAAATCATTTGAATGTTATGTGTCGAGTTCAATAATAATTTTTGTTTGACTAGTGTCGTCTAGTGTATTTAACACGCAATATTATCAAAAGATGGATAGCCAATGATAATCAATTTACACAATAATGTTATATATTAACATTGGAAAAAGAAAAAAAATCACATTAATTCACAAATTACGAAATATACATAGTTGCATGCAATGTAATCACATTTACATTTTCAACACGCAGTTAAAAATGAGATCATCCCCGTTGAGTAGCCTGAAGTTTTATGTGTAGTCAGTGAAATCGGACATTTGTACTTTAGGACGACCCGCGTTGGCTGTTGTCTGCTTCATGGCTGTTGTAGCTGCCGCCGATGAATCGTTATTTATCGCTTGACCGTTTTTCATTTTAATTACTTTGTTCTGTATCCCTTTGATTTTCCTGAGTCGCTCTAACCAGTTACTGGCGTACGGCTCGTTGTTTTTCTTCTTCGAGCTGCTCAAGATTTGCGAAGCCAGCTAGACAAGACAATAACGAAAAATGTATTGATGACAAGTTCATTCACATAGGAAAAAAAAAAAATGAATGTTTTTAGGCTGGATAGGTTAGGTTAGGTTATTCTGGAATTATAAACTATCTATCTGATGTTTAGATGTAGATGTTTAGTATACATAAATTGTAAAGAAAATTTCCTACACAAAACCTTTATGGATATTATCAAACAATAATAATTTAATGTTATTGTATTTTTTTTAGTTAGAAGCCCGATTCTTGGGGTTAACTTTGGAAACTGATTACTATTTAACACTCACGTCTGTATGTATGGCGAGTTGTCTGGCTAGCATGGCAGCATTTTGATCAGATACAATCTTTGGTTCTTGATGGCCTACATGTTTTTCCAAGTCCTCCCTGACTTTCACGGTAATTTGGTCAACACCATGTTCCAAAGGTTCAACGATAACACACCCATAACTGAACTGAGCCTATACAAAAACGTTTGAAAACTGTACACAAATTATTCAAATACAATCAAATCCAGCTAGTACTTACTTTTACAGTTTGAATATCGTAATCTTGACCACTTTCATTGTAGACAATCGTTACAAAGTCGTTGCCAATGTTTTTCTTTTTATTATTACACTTTGCATCCGATTCGACAGTTGGCATAAGAGTGGCTACATGAAATATAACCTTTAAAAAAAAAAAATTTAATTACTTTTAGTAGAGTTTTTATACTCGAGAAATTACAATAAAAATATAATGCATATTCTTAAATATTTTGTTTGAACAAAATACTGTTTACACATACTTGCATGATGTCGTCTTGCCAAATATATGTAAATTTTCCATCTGTTCCATTACGTTCTAGCCCACCCAAAAACACACTTTGTGAATCCACATCTTCCAACTTAATGAGTGTTCCTAGACCTTTTAGAAATTCTGTATATCTCGGGGAACCATGTTGGTTCTGTAGTATATCCATTTCAGAGTTGGCTTGGTCCATACCCACATAAATTACTCCAATCTAAATAAATACAATTTCTACTTAAATAGGTTTTAAGAAATCTCGAGAGTATTGTCCGATACCCTCGTTCCCCTCTTTGCTCCTTTCAAACTCTAAACGTTCCAGCACTTTTGTGTGACTAATATTTCCAATAATTTAAATTTGAATTAGCGCTTACAAACTAGGTTTGGTTAAGTATTATTAATTATGTGAATCTAACCTTGTGCAGTTCGTATGGCGATATCCAATCCAAGTGCTGTACGGCTCTTTGAATTATAGTTTCTGATAATGGTAATAGAATTGGCTTAGCATCGCTATCAGCGCTAATGAAGTGGGTGGAGTGGTATAGTTGAAGGAACACAAAACTGAAAAAAATAAATATATATTATATATATGTGTGTGTTATTATTGTAGAATAAATTAACAATATTACCTTGGATTGATTCCAGACCGCACAGGCTCTTTGGGTTGGTTTGATCGGTTGTTCATTAGCAAAGCATTAGTATTTGCCTGCATACCAGTTGGTTTCTTAATAGTGTTCATTACGGCTAATGTGTGTACACGACCTCTGAACGATGATAAAGGCGGATCTGTATCGTTTTCCTAAAATTTAGGTATGAGCAACATTAGAGTATTGGGGAAAATTAATGAAACTGTTTATTGAAAAACAGTTTCTAAGCCAAAATTGTCATCATTTGTTATATCTAAAACAAATGTTTATCAAAATGAATAATAGTATAACACCTGAAAGCTTACTAATTTTAAACTAGAAAATGTTGGGAAAAAATTATAAAAAATATTATAAATTATGCTTTTTGCAACAAAATTAAACCTTTTTGATCTCCAAATGAAGTTCATCAAAATCAGTAAGCTATCAAAATATCATATTTTTAATAATTTTGCAGTAATAACAGATTATGTAAATTTTGGCTTGGAAAAAACCTCTTTTTATCTCTGAATGGAAATCATAAAAATGTTACTTTTAAATTACTTAAAATTTAATTCTCTTAAATTCCAATCTAGAGGAAAATGTGTGGGCTTTAAAAATGGATTTAAAAAATAAATTACTATTTTTTCCAATGTCTGTGAGCCATAGCTTATTGGTGGTGACAATGGCGGTTTGGTAGTGAGATAAGACGGAGTCGACGTTAACGATCTACTTTTTTCTTCATGGTAATAATTGGCTACCGGAAACTCTGTAGTTTGTTTGATGTCAACACTTTCAGCAGAAGATTTAGTCGATGAATCACTTTCGTTAAATGAATTTAATTTCGTGGATTTAAGCAATAGTTTTGGTCGTTCTTTGTCATAATTCTTTTTAGCATCAGATGTCACTTCAATTTTTTTTTCAAACGAGTCTATGGTTAAATCAAGAGTTAAGGGTTTGGGTTGATATGCAGTGTTTGACGGTGGAGTCAAACCAGTGCCACAAATTTCTTCGGGAATTGCTTCGCAATTGGCTCTAGACGAAATTAATAAAAAAAAAATAATGAATTTATAATATAATATTATATATATATATATAAATATATGTATGTATAATCTACTACTCACTTAGAGCTATATCGTAAGTCTTTGGAATAGTTTTGTTTGACTTTTTTAGCATCAACGGCAGCGTTGAATATTTCAAAGTGTTTAACAATATTTCCGGAGTCTTTGTTGTTATCGTCATTATCGTAAGTGGGCATTTCTTTCATGAACGGATTTTTCCAACCTGAGCTCATTTCAGGGCTAGAATTGGACCTACGAACTGGATTTCTAGACTTTCCTCCTTCTCCGGTCTCGAAGTCCTCGACTAATAAATAAGGGTAGTATATTAATACATATTTTTTTTTTGCTTAGTGTAATGATTACCATCATAGTATTCGTCTTCGACTTCACAACTCTCTTGAGAATTTTGTCGGGAAGGAGCAGGTTTCAGGGGAGAACCAGGAATGCAAACCGGATCGGATGGCATTCGGCAGGTTTGTGACGCTTTGCCATTGAATTCCATTTTGATGGCTTCATCGTTTATCATATAATTCTCTAACACTTCTTTCTAAAAAAAAAGTGAAAAAAGTTGTTAAGTAATTTTAAACTTTAATAACAAGTTATTTTTATTTAAAAAAAAAAAACCTACTTCTTCGTCTAAATACTGGCACATTCTTTCCATTTCTCCATTTAAAACTTTTTCACCAAAAGTAGGATGAAACAATGTTGACACATCAAACATTGACGTGTCGGAGTGAAAGTCCTGGAAATTACGATCATTTTGCACCCTGATCATCCAAGACATGACACCTAATAAATAAAAAAGTTTAAATGAACAATGATGTATAATATTAAACAGTACTTGGAACGTATAGCAGCAAATTTCTTTATCAATTAATAACATTCATAATACACTTAATATTATGAAAAAAATAGATTAATTTGAGTAAAGCGGCAGCAATTTTGCAGTTAATTTATCAATAGTATTGATTCAGTATAGTTGCAGACATATAATATATTGTGTAATTAGGATATATATTATTGAAAATATTTGCGCTTACCCGTTGGACACCGTACGCATATTTCCGCCCAAGACTGACACCAGCAAGAACAACACTGTTTTTTGTCCAATCTGTCTATGCTGGAAACGCTGTCTTTTCTTGGCATATCAAACGCCTCAGGCGGCTCAACGTGCGGAAACTTTTTTGTATCTTCTCCCGGCGAACTAGTCGTTATTGATAAACTCGATGGCGAGGCTATCCCTTTAACGGGAGTGTTGACTTCGGGTTGGTCACTACCAGCTTCACTACTCTGGCTTCGAGAGACCGACAATTTTGATTTTTCATCAGGTTTAGGATCGCTGGTTTGACGACAAGATAGAGAACATTTGCCGCACAGACCACTCCGTACGGGTTTTTGAGTGCATCCGCTGGTCGTGATCGTTATTAATTTTGTACCTAATAACCAAGTAGCAGTTTGACCACCTTCCAGAATAAATTCAGCGGTCGGATGTCTAGAAAATATTCAACGTTGTGAGTTATGAACATTGTCATATTTATACTAGATACAGCTGTTCTCACCAGTTTATCCTTTAATTTTTATTATTGATAAATATTATTTTTAAGATCAACTGGTGAGATCGACCATTAGTACAATTATTACCTTTTAGGCAGAGCAGAACAAGTAGCAAACGCGTATCTAGCTAAAAAGTCCATACATGTTTCTGTTAGTTCTTTATGAAAAATTAAGAGCTTATCGTCAATTGGCGGTTTCAAATCATTCATTGGACTACGGCTAACACCTATTATTGATCGATCACGCCTTCGACTGCCCTTGAAATAGATAAAACGATTGTATTATAAATATATATTGTACTTGAATGTTTTTTTATTTACTTGTTCTGTTAGACTGGAACTTCGTTTTCTACTAGACGAATCTTCATTATAGATTTCGCCCTTAGAAATAGTATGTCCTTCAAAAGGAACCAAAATGTTTTGCGTTAAACCCTGAAATGGACAAGCCTTTATTAATACAAAACGAAGGTGACTCTGTGTTTTATGTTTTAGGTCTTTGCCATGTACATTTATTATATTTTTTATTAGAAACAATTACTTTTTTAATAAACTCTACGAAATTTCTCCGAAATGATGTACGGCATTTCAGGAACCAAATAGCGATCACTCGATGAGCTAACGATACCGTATAGTGGTTGTATTTAAAAGGATTAGTGTATGGCAATGCAATGGCAAACACAGACATATATTGATCGGCTACAAAGTTAGAAAACACTTTTGGAAGACGACTCAGCACTGGAAGAATACGAAATATGTTTTCATGCAATATTTACATAATGGTTTATTTTTAATTTTTAAAAATTACTCACTGGAAAGGAACTCTAAAACGGGCACAGCAATTTGTGCCGTGGCTGACAGTTTAGACATATTTAATAAAACTTCAGGTAATAACTTCACCATGATGTCTCTCATTTCTAGAATGCACGTAGTTAATGCCATTACAACAGGTCCTATACAACGGTTGACCAAACCTAAGAAAAAAAATTCCACTTATATACATATAACATATTAAAAAAATATAATTACGGATAGATTTGATGTAATTTTGATTACAAAAAAACATGCATATCTAATATTAACAGAATTACCGACCGACATAAGAACTATCGCATGAGATAAGAATGAATAATTAGTATTTGTTATAGATATGAAAAATGTAACTGTATTAAAGTCAAGTTTTTCTAGTATAGGTTGAAAATCGATATTATTATTTAAAAGTTTGAATAAGAATATTAAATTAAGGTATTTTCTATGATTTAAGCTATGATGTGCAGATGAGAAAGGAATTATTTTTACAATGGTATTCATTTTTTTGACAGATATCTCCTCCTAAATCGCTGAATAGACTACTTTGTACAGTAAGTCTATAGACCGGAAATTATACTTGATTGGGTGAACATTTTAAAAACTTCAAATTTGAGAAAAGAATCCAAAAAAATTAATTCCAAAGGTGTGTAAAGTACTGTTGATAAACATTGACAAACCGAAAAAATATCTTAAGCCCTCTGCCCTAGGAGATATAGAAATTTTATTTTTATTTTTAACGGATTAAGATCTGAAAATTAGACGTCTCATCAAGATTAGAGTCATAATTTTATGTTTAAAATTGAAATTATTATTTATTTTTAACCCAATAACAAACAATACTGAACAGTATGCCAAAATGTGTGAATGTGCCAGGTTAATATTAATTTAACTCCCCAAAAACTAAAAAATTAAACACTACACAACTTAGTGGAAGATTATCAACTAAAAAGATAGGTCACATCATTTTTGAGTTTGTGAATAAAACGATTCTAAAATATGCCGTTTAAAAATGACAAGGTTTTTCACGGTTGAGTGACCTGAATGAAAACTGTTTGTTAATTATCAACTATTATTACCAGAATCATTCAAAAATAATTTGTCTTCACAGAGACACTAAGACTTTTACCTGATTGTAAGCATTTAACAAGCTTTTGCTGGAGAGATGGCTCGATACTATTGTGATATGAAACGAACGCTGCTAGTGCTGGATAGACGGCGATTTGAAAATCGGTTTTTAGCCATTTTGAAGGGGTATTTTTTAATGTTCTAACAACACTTTTATCGTTCACCTAATACAAAACAGAATATTTAACTGTGAAACTGTAGATACGGGTGGCTCTTATTTTGGGTTTAGTAGAGTTTTAGGTTATTTAGTTTTTTGGTACGAAATGGATGTAAATAAAAAATGAATTATTCCACGGTATTTGCTGCAATGTAATTTTATTACAAAGTCACTCAATCAGTAAACGACAGATTTTCTTAATACTAGTGTCAAAATTTTTTTTAACTGATCATAAAACCAGCCATAAAACAATTCCAAAAAAAAAATATTTTTAGCTCCTTCCCTCCCCCCCCCTGAATTATGCCCAATTTGTGCGCCAAAATTAACTTCAATACACTTTTAATTTGATTTCTTTCGCAGTTGGACTGGTGCTACGTGTTAACATAAAAAAAACACCAGACATTTTTGTTGGTCTATTTTTTTATCCTTTTCAAACTTTTTTAGAAGGTGTAGCCATTGTAGTTGCATTAAAATAAGAGCCACCCAATTATATATAACTAAAAAGTACTGAAGCTAGAAATAATAACAAACCAACAAACATAAGGTTGAAACTAATTCACACGCAGGATCGAATTCCGCATTTCCAGACAACATTAACGCTTTGTTCTTCAGAATTGCAGGTACTTCTGATAAAATATAGCACAACACTGTCCAATCTGGAAAAAAAAAAGAAGGTTTTATACTTTGATTGAGAAAAGCGTGCAATATAAAATTAGAATAGCCACGGTTCTCTTTTCTTCTTGAACAAAAATTTAATAAAACATCCTACGCCATACACGTTGTGGTCAATCAACACATACCAGCATACTCACAGACACATACTCACATCCTAAAAATCAGGATGCAATATATCTACAGAGTTAAATTGCTTCACACCAAACGCCATTAGACTCTTTAAAGATGCTATAATCCATTTCCAAATTTTGGTTCATGCTTTACCGAGCTCTTCTTTTAAAGCTGTTATCACGGCCTTGCACGCTGCGGCTAACGATATTTGACTAAACTGCACCAAACTGTCATCCTTTGACTGATGGTCTTCCATTGATGAATTTGGACTGTGCGATAATATCCCAAAACCACTGCGTTCCACATATATAAATGAAGAATACCCGTTTAATCCTTTAAATCCTAGTCTATACCTAGAGTCTACTTGTAGTTTAGCTAACAATTTGAAAATCTAAAAAAAAAAAATGTTTAATTGAGTGAACCGAAAATAATAATTGATAAGAAAAATACTACTCAGAGGTAACAAAATATTTAAAATTTTACCATTAAACGTATTGAATGACAATTATCTAATACTATTGGTTGGTCGTAATGATGTCTTAAGTGTCTGATGAGCATTGCGAGAATTCGTTCGGCAGATGTAGTAGAATGTTGGTATAGAAAGTTTGAAAACAACTTTGAAAGACCTTCAACAGTTAATTTGATGTCGTCTGTGTCATGTTCTTGTAAAGGAATTGCAATATTCAACCGATATGGTCTTAATAGTATCTATTATGTTTCAAAAAATAAGAATAATTGAAATAAATATTATTATGGAAATAAAAAATAAAAATAATCTCAAACATTTGTAAGTAGCGACAAGCTACACAATATAGTTTTAACTTAATAACAGTCGTTGTATAAATGAACTTAGTTGAATCTAAATACATATTAGAAAATGATAACAAGAGAATTATAAAAAAAATGTAGAACATACTTTTTCTAATATTTCAAATAGTTGGATATGATATTGACTGTCACATTCAGCACAAATTCCAATAATTATTTGACAAACCGCTTGTCTAACGCATGGATCAGCATCATTAGCGACTTCGGCAAAAGTCGCTAGAATTACATTCATAAGTTCTTTTCCATATATTGCGCTGTAAGTTGTTTTATTTTATTTTATAATTGTATAAAAATTGGTTACAATAAAATATGAGTTCTATACAATATTGTCAATACCTGTTATGTCGATAAACTTCTTCGAGTGTTTTTGTTACTGCATGAATTCGTATGGGAGTTCTGTTCTCCTTGGTATAGAAATGATTTAAAAACGATGACAAATTTTCAATCCATCGATATTGGGTGGGAACCAAAAACTCTTTTCTGTACGCCATCAAATTGAAAACCGAAGACTCCTGTAAAAATACATATATTATACACGTTAAATGTAAAAATAAAAAATAAATATGTTTCTTATTTTACTGGTCTGTGTAGAGAAAACGTCTCAACGACATCATAAATGCCGTCTAAAGTGCCGTTGTAAGAATTGGCAAACACTAGAGACTCGATTTTTGTGAGCGTTTCATTAATGTGATCAACAATCACCGGTATGGAATTGGCATTATTTCGGTCTGAAAAATAATATTGGATTAAATTTTAAATCGGTACATGCAGTGGCGGCGCCAGGGGTAGGGCCAGGGTAGGCCGCGGCCTACCCTAAAATCTTCTCGGCCTCCGGCTGGCCCACCCTGTATGATTTCAAAGTATTTTTGTTTATTGTTCATTGTAGTATTGTAATTTTGAAAATATATGTTAATTGTTATATTTTTCTTAAGAAGTGTTGCTTAATTGGTAATATTATGACTTTACTCAGTAACATACCGAAAAGGGAGGGTTATTGAAGTTTTAAAAATTGGCTGGTATTACCCTCGATAGTGACCTTTATTTTTTATTAACCTGTAGTATTGTAAGTCTTTACCACCCGATAGGTAAGGCAATTTTTGTTACGCCACTGGCCCTTCCTATAAATCAGTGGCCCCAGTTTGGCCCACCCGGACAAAAAGTTCTGGCGCCGCCACTGGATACATGATAAAGTAATACCTCCTAATATAGTATTGGAATAAACTAGTTATTTTTTAATAAAGCCCAACCAAGTTCCATTAATTTGGGTGGAAGAAAAATCATCCCATGGGCAAGCTTAAACGAAGAGAAAAAACAAGCATGTCACTTTTTAATTTTAAAATGGGATGTTTTTTTTTAAAAGTTTAATTTAAGTTTTCAATTAAAGTCTAAACAAAATATGTTGAAAATTGACCTTTAAAATTTCGTTCCTGATATAATGTACTAAAAGAGTTATTAAGTGTAATTAAAATTAGAAGCAATTGTTTATACTTTATTAAAATAAATGAAAGTTAAATTATAAGTATAAAATATTAAATTATTGAATACTGAATAATAATTCTTGTTTAATGGTAGATTATATTTTCATAATTTATGTGGGGTTGGGCTGACTGGGAATTAAAAAAAAAAAAATTAGGCGGGTTTTCATTGAATTGGAGATTTTTTAGACAACCTTGCTAATATATAAAAAAAACTTTACTACTTACTAACAAACTCGGCAGTGCTTTTCAATATTTTCAAAACTTTTTCCCAGACCATGTTTTGCAAAGTGGCACCGTTTTTCGTTACCAACGATTCCATGCCTAATACGACTTCCAACACTACTATTGGATGATCGCAAGACAGTGCCTACAAGTATTTCCATGTTAATAATTTATGTAATAGACCAAGACGGGGGCGACTCTACCTATGGTCTATGGCAAGGTATTTGAAGTGTCCAGACTTATCAGATTTATAATAGACAAAAATTTACGATAAAAAAAAAAACTTGTACTAGGGTGGCTGACCCCATGTAGTTGGGAGTGAAGATGAAGAAATATCACACAGTATGGTGTACGTAATAGTAGTAAAAAAAAATAATCAAGTTACTTTCGAGGAAATTACAATGTGGTCCTCTAAAATAGATAAGTAGATCCACCTGAACTGGATAAAGGAGTTTGTCTTTAAAGATAAACTTACCAAATAAATTGAAGGCAAAACCGAAAGCAGTGATATTTTAAAAGATGTAATCTGTTTGTTACTCCACAACGCCATGTTTATATAGAATACGCCGCCTCGTACAAGGCCAACGTTGCGATTCGATTGTTCTTTGTGGAGCAACTGACAAATCAAGTGCAAAGCCGAGTAGCCCATGTGGGTTCCCAAAAGTTTTCTCATGGTCTAAATAATATAATTTAAGTTAAAATAAACTGTCGAAAAGTTATCAGTCTTTCCATTGTTTATTTATTACTTTCCAACATTGTGCGCAGTACGCTTCTGAATTTGCAGTATGGCACAGAGTGGCTATGAATATCGGCAGAGAAGGCGGTGGCAAATGACTGTAGCATATGATTGTGTCCAAAAGTTGAAGACTTTCAATGACAACTTCTCTGTCTTGGATATGACAACATACGTAAAAAGTGCTTCTGTTGATGAAGAATAAAATATTTAATAATAAATTATTAAGACAAAGATTTTACAGAGATAACATTAACGTACTGGACAACAGTGTGGATTACTTCATCGTCTAGGTATGATCCGTTGTATTTAATAAGATTAATGGACATTTGTAACCATTCAATCGTGAAACCGGCGGGAACTAACTCAGAGGCACCCCAGCACGTAAGCCAAGGGCAAATTTCTTCTTCTAAATAAACAATGTCACGGCCGTGTTCTGTGAGTTTTTCTAACAACTCCAACCTAAAAAAGGTATTAAAATTTAGTTTTTCTATTTTTTTTATCGTTCACAAAAATAGTTGAAAGTTGAATTTCTAATATCATATTCAATGCAAGGCTGAGAATTAATAGATTTAAGTACAACTTTTTTAAAAGTTTGTCCTATTGTTTTTACGAATTTGTATACATGAAAATGTGAACAACTTAAAATCACATAAAATTGTTTGTATGTGTACAGTTATTATTATAGTTAAAAAATTGTAACGTCAACAGGAAGAATTTTTACCTGCATGACAGATCTTCTGCTATCTCGTGACTTTTAATGAAATTGAAAATATGTTTTCGCATAATACCAAGTGTTTCGTATTGACCAATAATTATGTTTTTGATAAATGAGAAAGCGATATTACGGTGTTCTTTTGCGACATCGTTACTGAACAAATCTTGTACCAGAGTCCATAACGTCTCAACAGCATTCTGTGGAATTGAAAATTTAATTTTACATTTGACAAAACATTATATACTAGATAAATTTAGCAGCAAAACTAAAAACTTAACTCAATACGGCGAGTTGTTTTGGAAGCCCTAGGGTTTGTTTTAAAAAAGTGTAATTATTTTAAGAGATTACTTTTTCACAGAATTACAGTGTTTTTTTCACAGATTAATAATCTTAAATTCACTGACTCAGCTGGTTCAAAAATTGTGGCTATTTAAACACCTCAGCGCAGGCGCTAGGGCTGTTTTGCGCAACATTTGAACTAGAGTATGTGGATATCTAAATTGAGACTCAAAAATTTGTATTACCACAAACATTTTAGGATAAAACAGCACTTTTAGAAAAACATTTTTTTCCTAAGTCCCATTTTAAAAATATTATTGGGATTTTTTAAATTAAAAAAAAAAACACGGAACGTTAAAGCAGTTTTTTGTCTATTTCAAAAACAAGCATGACCACAGAAGATTTAAAAAGTCATTGTCTTTGGGGTAAAAAAACAAATTTTGAAGAATAAAAAAGTTGAGAAGTTCAACTAAAATTGTTCGAAAACAGTATAATTTTGTAAATTAAAAAGTGGTGGCTGGTAGAAATATCAAAGATAATATAAAATGTGTATACTTCTTCGAGACGATGTGAACGTGCTACTTCTGTTAATTCTCTGATGGCTCTGATTCTGTTGCTCAGCGTCGTTTCTGACGATATTTCGCGTTCTTGTTCCACAGTAAGCGTGTAATCCTCTTTAACACGAAGAGCTCCTGGTAACATAACAAAGATGTACCGATTTATTACAAGTTACGTTTAAACGAGACACATGCTGTTAATTATATGGTTAACAGTTCAATTGGTCGCACAGCCAACAAGTAAGATAAGTACACACTGACCTGCATTTGACGCTCCTTTGTTGATACGAAAAAATTGTTTTAACTTTTCGAACGTCTTGTTGTCTTTTGAACTCATCTCGGCCGGTGGATTTTGAACGGTTGTGTTCAGCTAATCGGACACATTACGGTTCACGAGACTGACAGACATGCAAATCGGCGGCGGAGTGCAAAATGAAATGTTTCTAACGAAATTTTATCAAATTGTAACATTTTTTTTTCCTCACTACTTTCGATGATAGCAGCGCCGTGGCAACAGTGTAGCCGACCTTTGCCAAGGCGCGGCGCTGTAGTGGCTACACTGCAAAGTCTTCTACCTACCGACGATACCGGTGTTTGGGTACGAGCGCGCTCGGCACAGTCAAAATCCCGCACGATTTCCGACGATTTGATTATAACGTGTGGACGGACGGTGTGCGAAAATTGTTGTTTTTTTTTTGTTCCTTTTAATATAATATTGTTTTTAATTTTATACATTTTTTTATTTTGTTAGTTTATTAACCGTTACTAATAACGCCCGACACCGTCGTGTAACGATCTCACGGTGCAGATTTAAATGATAGTTTAAAAAAGGATTCGCATCGGATACACTGAATACGATGGCTTCTCTATTTTATACAGTAACGGCTCACAAAGCCACTGCTGTGTGCACAAGTATTTCTGGTACGATTACAATTATTATCATAAATGATTATAAAAAGTTCTTCAACCCAACGCTGCGGTAGTTTGCTCTAGTTAAGACGGCAATGACAGTGACAACAATACACTTGAAAAATATAGCCTTGGGAACTAAATGTTCAAAAATAAATAATGATTACGTATCAAAAATATATCCAACTCGTATTTACCTTGAAATGATCGAAATAACCGTTTTAAATTTTTTTAATTTGCTCGTTATAATATTTAACTTGTATTTAATTGATGCTGGAGTACATGTATTTGCACAAATTCTTTCTTAGAATGATTCAAAATTTGCTGGGTTTCATTTAAAAAAAAATAGGTTTTTTGTTTCACTTTGGGTTATAACTGCTGATAGGCCACTGAATGTTTTTAATTAAGTCAACTCGATAAGGTTTAATTTTTGGACTTAGATTTGTGTATTTAAATAAATTAAAATTAAATAATATACATTTTTCATAGGAAATTTCACGTCACCGACGGATCGTAATTTGATTGTCGCAAGATTCAATCGGATTGAAATATATTTAGTCACCGAAGAAGGCTTGCAGCCAATCAAAGAGATAGCGCTGTATGGAAAAATTGAAATCATGAAACTATTCAGACAAAAAGTATGAAATTATTAATGTTTTTTTTATTTATTGCATTTTGTTAAAAATTTAACATTATTGTTCTTGCTTGTTTTTAGCAAATGAAGAAAGACTTATTGTTTGTAGTGACGGCTCGGTTCAATACTATGATATTAGAATGTAATCAAGTTAACGGTAACATTGAAATTATTACTAAAGCACATGGCAACATATCTGACAATGTTGGCAAGATATCAGAAGTTGGAATTATGGCCGTTATTGATCCTAGTGCCAGAGTGATTGGTCTTAAAATATATGATGGCTTATTTAAGATTATACCTCTGGATAAGGAAGGGGAATTGAAGGCTTATTGTTTAAGGTATAGCAGTATAATTGTAATGATATATTTAAAATACAGTAAATAATTTTATTTGGTTTTTAGAATGGACGAAGTAGAAGTACAAGACATTGATTTTTTGTACGGATGCGCAAATCCGACTATTCTAGTTATTCATCAAGATACCATGGGGCGTCATATTAAAGCTAAAGAATTGTCTATAAAAGACAAGGAATTTGTTAAGGTAAGGTATTAATCAACAGAAAAAACATTGCGTTTTGGTTCTCGACGAGACCACATGAGGCAGGGCGAGCACTAGAGTGTATCCACTTAAGTTTACCCACTTTTGCGCATGCATACAGATGTGCCAAAAGAGTCAGACTTCAGCTAAGATCCAGGCGTTCTGTGATTGATCGTTTATGTTGCTCGCTTACTCGTATTAATATTTTAATTTATATGCACTACCTGTACGCTTACATGTCATTAGACTCAGAATAGAAGGAAATTTTATATTATAAGTTCAAACACATAATTAAAAACATTAATAAAACGGTATAAATTTCATATTAATTTAAACAAATTATAAAAATGCATAAAAAAAAACATAATATTAAAATAAATTATATGTTTGACTATTTCCATAAGTTGATGGATGATAGTAGGCTTGTCTATGATTTCTCCTGACTGAACTCAATTGAGTTCAGTGCCTCTTCCTTATCCTCCAACCACTTTATAATGTCGACATTTTTTATACTGGATGTCAGAGCTTTATCTGAGTGTCTTCACGAGTCTTCACCGAGTGGTATGATCTGGTTTATGACAATGACAGAGTTGTCTTGCATTCAATGTAATATATTATCTGTCCACTCACAAAATGCCTGGCCATTAATTGTGTTGTCATAGTCTGGTGCTCTTGCCTCATGGGCACTCCGTTCTGTATCGGTTTTTTTAGAATTAAATCAGTGCTTATCTAAATAAAACGATAATAATATTTTTATTAAATTCTCTTACTACAAAATAACTATTTACATAGTTTGTTAACTAATTTATGTAATTATAATCTTATTTTAGACTCCTTGGAAACAAGAAAATGTAGAAACAGAGGCTTCGATAATTATACCCGTTCCAGAACCTCTTTGTGGTGCCATCGTTATTGGTAGAGAGTCGGTACTTTATCATAACGGTTCATTTTTCATTGCTATTTCTCCACCAGTTATAAAGGTAGGTAAACGGAGATATTAAATTTGAAAGAAAAGTTAATTTAATTGTCGTTTTCGTACCTGTGTTGTAGCAAAGTACAATTATATGCTATACAAGAGTGGATCCAGAAGGAACTCGATATCTACTTGGAGATATGGCTGGCCATTTATTCATGTTATTGTTGAACTACGAAAGGAATTCGGATGGAACGTTCAAAATTAGAGATCCAAAAGTCGATTTATTAGGTAAATTGTTATTACCAAGGGGAAGACATTAGAATGATCTCATTGAATTTAATGAAACTTCTCCTAGTTAATTTTAAGTAAAAATGAGTGTTGTTAAATAAAAAAATTTATTTCCAAATACATTTATTATTTGATTGAATTATTTTAAATAACTTTATAATTTTTATTACTCTTTTGAAATATTATGCAAAAAAACAATTTTGAAGTTAATAACACGCTTTATGTTTAGATTTAAGTATACATTTTATCTGGTAGGTGTTTTTTTTTAAATCAAATATTTCCAACAACAAAGTAAAGTATGTAATTTATCCATCTTAAAGTTAAAAAAAAAAGTGAGTTCAGAATAATGAATGAAAAATCTAACTGTAAAAGTGAAAATAATTTAGTTGTACCAATACGACTTCTATGCACACATTGAACGTGTAATTCAATATGATAATAAACAAAACTAAAAATATACGGTACGTTTGTAATTTTTTTAGGAGAGATAAGTATACCAGAGTCCCTTACTTATCTCGACAACAAGGTGATTTATGTAGCATCGCGGGTCGGTGACTCTCAGCTCATCAGACTTAATAACAAACCCGATCAATATGGTTCATACATTACCGTACTGGATACCTTCATGAATTTAGGACCAATTCTCGATATGTGTGTAATCGATTTGGAACGACAGGGTCAGGGGCAAGTTGTCACATGTTCGGGTATGCATATTAATTAAGGGAAAAAATACACTTACAATTAAATTTAATTTAATTTCAGGAGCGTATAAAGAAGGATCGCTTCGAATAATACGCAATGGAATCGGTATTCAGGAAGTTGCCACAATTGATTTAGTTGGAATCAAAGGAATGTGGCCTCTGAGTGTGGCTTTAAATAGTCATCTTGATGACACTCTGGTTTTATCGTTTGTCGGTCATAGTAGAGTATTGGCATACAACGGAGACGAGGTCGAAGAGGTAGATTTGGAAGGGTTCCAGTCCGATTTGCAAACGTTCTATTGTGGCAACACGGCCGATAATAAAATGGTCCAGATAACGTCGAACAGTGTTCGATTGATATGTTTGCAATCCAAAAAGTTAGTGAGCGAATGGACCGTGCCCGCTGCCAAAAGTATAAACGTAGTGTCATGTAATAACCAACAAGCGATTTGCGCCACTGGCAATAGCTTATACTACATAGAAATAGATACAGATAAAGTTGTTCAAAATGGGTAATTATTGTATATATAGCCTATGAAATGAAAATGAATAGTATGCTAAATTATTGTTTCACATTTTAGATTTATTACACTAGAACATGAAGTATCTTGTCTCGATGTTTGTTCATTCAAAGATGAATTTGGCAAAACCAATAGTTTGGTGGCCGTCGGTTTGTGGATGGACATATCAGTTAAAATACTCCAACTGCCTGACTTTACAGAACTTGTTAGAGAACCTCTTGGAGAAGGTAACGAGTACCTTTAATTCTTTACTATCGAAAAATACATTAATATTAATTTAATAATTATTGTTATTTACAGAAATAATTCCTCGTTCAATATTGATGGTGACTTATGAAAATATACACTATTTACTATGTGCATTGGGTGATGGAAGTTTATGCTATTTTCACTTGAATCCAGAAACAGGAATTCTAAGCGATAAGAGAAAAGTATGTTGTAGTAATAGATTAGTGATCGTAATCGAATCTTAGATTAAATTGAAATCATAAATATTCAAACGTTCGCTTGTAGGTAAATCTTGGTACTCAACCTACACTGATAAAAAAATTCCAATCGCTTTCAACTACGAGTGTTTTTGCGTGTTCAGACCATCCAACGGTAATATATTCATCAAATAATAAGTTAATTTTCTCGAATGTTAATCTACGGAAAGTCAACCACATGTGTTCGCTAAATACTAAAAGTTATCCAGACAGGTGAGTTACACTTCTTTTGAGTTGGCAATTATTATATTCTTTAATTTAAACCACTAATATATTTATTTTACTATTAAGTTTGGCCATGGCTACAGATTCATCAATTATAATCGGAACAATAGATGAAATGCAAAAATTACATATACGCACTATACCACTGGGAGAAGCGCCTCGGCGAATCGCACATCAAGAGAACAGCAAAGTATATTTTACTGTTGATTAAGACTATTAAACAGGGCTGCAACTCGATCACTTTTCTCACATTTTATCACTATTTTAGTGTTTTAGTTGTCATTCTCACTTTTTTCTATGTTGTAAAATATTATACATTAACACAATAGGCCTCTACCAAAAAAATTTATATCGGCTAACTTTTTTTCTAGTATTGATGTGTTGGCAAAATGTAGTGGTATTTAAACACACACAAATTATTTAACTACTAAACCGATTTCCTTCATACAGCCAACCCATAAAAATAAAAAAATTAACAGTATAAAAATTTCCATAATTATAGATATAATATAGCTTTAGTTTTTTTTTTAAATTAATTTTCCAGCTTGACAAGTTTTTATTTTCAGTTTATTATTCGTAACTTAAAAATGTAAGCTTTAAGGGTGTTATCACTCTAGAAAATACCAAAAATTATAAATGTTCAGACATTTTATAACATTGTAAAAAAAAAAAGTAGTGAAAAAACATCATAATTACTATATTTTCAAGAAAAAAATTTGTTCACTCCTCACTTATTAACTTTATTTGTTAAGTGGCAGCCCTAAATGAGAGTAATAACATCTAAAAATATGTATAATAAAATAATAACTGCTTTAGTCATTTGGTGTGATAACAATGAGAATCGACGTCCACGAAGGAATCAATTTGGTTCCCGCTAGACCCAGTGCCAGTACTAACGCTCAAAATGTTTCGGGTGCCGTCAGTAATCGTATTCCCAGTAATTCGTCGACGGCAAATAGCAATCAGGGATCACTCAATATAGGAAACAGTGAATACGGCCTTGAAGTGGAAATACATAATATGTTGATACTCGATCAAAACACATTCGAAGGTAAGTAACACTGACATACGTTTTGACCTGACTACGATTGAGTCTAAATTATTGATTTATACTTTCAGTATTACATGCTCATCAGTTGAACACCAATGAATACGCATTGAGTATTATATCCGCCAAGCTGGGAGATGATCCGACGACGTATTACATCCTGGGAACGGCCGTGGTGAATCCAGAAGACCAGGATCCGAAATTAGGACGTATTCTTATATTCCAGTGGGACGATTCGTCGTCGAAATTGACCCAAATAACTGAAAAAGAAGTTAAAGGAGCCTGCTACGCCATGGCCGAGTTTAACGGTAAACTCTTAGCCGCAGTTAATTGTACGGTAAGTTCAATGTGTGTTTTGTGAATTAAATATAACAATGTGTTTGACATTTTTTTTACAAAATTATCTGTTTACCATTTGCATTTGGGATATTCTATGTAAAATGAACTCACTAATTTTAATCTTAATTTGAACGTGCCTCATATATCATCAATATTTATTTTATATACTTTAATACAGGCTTGTCCTTCCCAATAGGTGCATTTTAAAAATTGTTTAAATGTATTCATTAATTATATTTAGGTGCGCCTTTTTGAGTGGACTGCCGATAAAGAGTTGAGACTTGAATGTAGCCATTTCAACAACATTGTCGCATTATTTGTAAAAACCAAAGGCGACTTTATCATTTGTGGAGATTTGATGCGATCGCTGACATTGTTGCAGTACAAAGCCATGGAAGGCAGTTTCGAAGAGGTATTCTTAGTAGTTATATTAAAAGAGGTTCCGAGTAATAATTGTTAACAATTTATTTTTATTATTACTCGTAGATTGCCAGAGATTATTGTCCCAAATGGTCTACGGCCATAGAGATCATCGACGACGATATTTTCATTGGAGCTGAAAACGAAAAAAACTTATTTATTATTCAAAAAGACAGGTGCATAGTAAAATTTTGTTTAAAAAAAAAAAAAAAAGTGTTTCCTTATGTTTTTTACAAAAGAAATAATAAACACAATTGTTGTTTTATTCGTAGCACGTTAACTAGTGACGAGGACAGACATCAACTTCAAGAAATCGGACAATTCCATTTGGGCGATTTAGTGAATGTTTTCCGGCACGGTTCGTTAGTCATGCAACATTTCACGGACACGTATGTTTCGACGCAAGGGGGAATTCTTTATGGCACGTGTAGTGGTGCATTAGGTAAGTGAAAAAAAACAATTGTCGTCGTTTGTTCAGAGAAGACGAAAAATCTTGCGCGTATTTTGCTGTCTCAATGTTAAATTAGTAAAATATCACATTTGATTTAGGTTTAGTTACACAGTTGAGCCCGAAAATGTTTGAGTTCCTAACAGACTTACAAGATAGTTTAGCTAATGTAATCAAAGGAGTAGGCAAAATCACACATAGGAATTGGCGCAGTTATCATACGGAGATAAGAACTGAACTAGCCGAAGGATTTGTCGATGGCGATTTAATTGAGAGTTTCTTAGATTTACCAAAATCTGAAATGAGTGCTGTCATCGAAGGACTAAAGGTAAACATTGTATTTGTTTGTTTTTTTACCGATAAATTGTGCTCAAAAACCATATTGTTTTTATTTATGTCCGTAGGGTTCATACGATTGTCAGTTTAGGAAAGTTACAAAAGACGCCAACCTCATCCTAAGCGACGTCATTAAACTCGTTGAAGATTTGACCAGGATACATTAAAATTTATTTTTATATTTATTCGCGTGTCTAAATGATAAATTTAATATTTAAAAGCATTTTGTTTGCTTGTTTGTAAATTGTATATATTTTACGTTTTAAAACTCCGTTCTATTCATCTATTTGAATAATAATAGTTATTTAATTAAACGTATTTTATTGTTGTAAACATTTAAGTGTTCTAAGTACTTAGAATTTTTTTTTATCATAATTTTACCAAAAATAAAGTGAGACCAAAATGTCATCTAAATTATATCACTTCTATTAATGAATGACTAGTTTGGCTTCAGGATTTGCTAATGAAAAGATTGTGTCTCGCTAAATACACGACTGCACATGAAACAGTCGGTCCAACGGTTAAAAACTTATCGTCAGTTTGGACACAAAAATAATAATAATAGTGTCTCAGCTCACCGTCGAAGCTTAAATGAAATTATTCCATCATAAATTTTCGGTTTAAAAATAAATTAAAACTCCTCATCACTTGGACTTGAATTACAATTTTAATTAGATTTAAAATTATTTTGCTTGCGTAATTTCATTACATTCTGTGCATAGTATTGAAAAAGTAATTTTGCATAAGTAGTTTAAAACTACTAACGCGTTTCAAAATGTAAAACAAAAAAATGTTTAACTTTGAAATTTAGTGAGAAAAATAACTGTTGTTTTAGTTCAATATTCAGTACTGAATTAAAAACCATTCAACTTTGACTAATACTACTAACCACTTGGTAAATAACGATAAAATTTCAGTCCCAACTTCATAAAAAAAAATCAATTAAAATTTTAGTTTTCATAAGAAAAAGTAATTTTGTTACAGTCATTTTATTTTTGATTAACGAAAAGTAATTACTAATTTATGTAAATTATTTAGTTATTTTAATTTAATTAATAATATTAATATTTTAGTTTAATTTATGTAATTTATTTTTTGACATAACGAGTAAAGTGATTTCATTATGTTACAAAAGTAACATTTCCAAGACTGAGAAGTTAGTGATTTTCATTTCCCTCCCCCCCTTCCTAAAGTTGTAATTATTAGGACTCTTTTTTGGTTAAATTATTTTACAGACTATCACAGCAACCTTGACAGCGATTTAAAACATTTTTTTCATCTAATCATATGGCTACGAATATTTTCTATTTTATTGACTAATTGTAAGTAATAATCGTAGACATTTTTTTTTTACATTTTAAAAACAATGAAAACTTTATTTGGGTTCTCTCGTCGGTTTTTTTTATATTATTAATCTAACTTTCACAATTTATATTTTAATTTTGACATTTTTTTACTTTTTCAAGTGCTTGTTCTTTAAGGTCAAATTTAAGTTTTCTAAAAAAAAAACCGTCGAGAGAACCTAGTTAGTTCTTTTTTTTTTAACGATACCAACATTTTTTTTCAATGACCATATTGCTTTGACCTACACGCTTTTCCATAAACACATTTTTACGGTTTTTTTTTAAAGGATATGTGTCCTTATAGTTTCCCCAAATATCTCTTTTATTCGAACTGGCGCGTACGGTTTTGGAAATGTGCTTTTCAAATAATATTATCATTTGACATTGACCTAAAGGTTTATCACTTATCAGCTGTTATCATTAATTGTTATGCTATCTATAGTCCGATAGTCGGCAAGTTGTGGACTTGTTTAGTGTTTACGGTTCACTTTGGTTTTGCTTCTAATTTCTATGTACAAGAGATATTTTTGTACTCAAGTCTTAATCGTCAATAATTCAATAATTAATTCAAGTCAAATCGGTTAGGGTATTTCCACTGCATTCGTTTTGCGATTTACCCATTTCACAGATCAACGTTAAACATTTCTTTTTTCCTTTTGGTTTTTTTTCAGTGCTCCTTGATCATCAATAAAATGGCAACTATTGTGCAGTCGTTGTTAAAAAGGTAATATTACTAGTTTTGTAATACTTGTACACTGTTGAAATTATTCGAAACCGACAAAAGCTAAATCCAAGTATAGCAAATACTATATTATAATATTTGCATTGATTAAGCGTGCAAAGATAACCTAGGCAAATACTCTTATAACAATTTGTTAAATAGCAAACCGTTTAATTAACCAATGGACCCCAAAAACATGTTGTTTAATAAATTATACGAAGAAAACCTTGCCATAAAAGCGTGGTCTATTTATTTGTTTATCTATCGAAATTGGTTTAATATTGAAATTAATTTTGTTTTCAACTATATCTCTACTCTCTAAATAAATGTTAGTACCTCATCTTGTTTGATGTATTGTTTGTATAGCGCCTTAGAAATAATTTACTTGACCTTATCTAGGATTTATTATCATAGATAAATATATTATTAACATGTGTGTAGCAACTGTTATTTTTTTGACAAAAAACAAATTCAAAATCTGTGTAAAAAAAAAATACTATAATAAATTAGTTGAAAAATATACACAAATTAAGTAGTTGAAATAAGGGGTTGTGATTTATAATCTATAATCGAATAGTTTGTAATATTTGGATTTACTTATTTATATAACGAAAAAATTTAAATGTTCAAATAATTCAACTAAGTATATATTAATATACTATTCAAAATGTTTGACTAATTTTTCGAGTGTTTTTGAGTTCTAATTATTTTCATCACAAATTAAAAATCATTTGTTTAAATATTATTATTTAATTTAACTCACTTTATTACCTGTTTTTAAAAATAACCATTTTTTCAGTTCACCCGTTTGTCGCCTATTCACATCTCAAGTTAGAAATAAAGCGACACTTCCGCCGCTTAAATTTGAATATAAAGATTTGGAGCCAACTATATCGAGGGAAATCATGGAAATTCACCATCAAAAACATCATAATACTTATGTGGTAAACTACAACAACACAGTGGAAAAATTGGAAGCTGCAACATCGAAAGGTTGCACTTTAATAAATAAAAAATAAAATAAGACATAATTGTAAAAAATGTATTTCTTTCTACTTAGGAGACATTGCTACAATCATAAACCTCAGCCCTGCGCTTAAATTCAATGGCGGGGGACATATAAATCATTCCATATTTTGGGAAACTCTTTCACCTTGCTCCACTAAGCCATCAGGTAATCAGGATTTTCTAATTAATTTAACATATATATAATTTTTAGCGAACAGTCCAAAAAGTAAAGTTAACATATTTCTGGTTATCGGACTAATGTTCCGGCTGTTTAATATAAAGCCCTTACCTTTTTTTTTTCAGAAAAAAAATAAAATTCCCACTTATTGACTTTATTTTTAAATGGCAGCCTTATTTAAGTTCAATTGTACCAGTTTTGGTTCGTAATTTGCGCCCTCGGCTAGTTTTAAAAATAAGCCTACCTATTATAAAAAACCTACTGTCCTTAATCGACTAGTTAATTAATGCGTTGTCAAATGTGTTTGTCTTAGGTGATTTTGAAAAAGCAATAGTCCAAAGTTTTGGTTCGTTCGACGAGTTTAAAAAACAATTGTCCACCGCTTCGGTTGCTGTTCAAGGTTCAGGATGGGGTTGGCTTGGATACAACTCTACCACTAAACAATTGGTCGTTACATCTTGCCCAAATCAAGATCCGTTACTTCCCACTACAGGTATGCATATTACAATGATGCGTAAATTTATATTTTTTAATTTATCGATATAATTATATATTTTACATTTTAGGACTTTATCCTGTTTTTGGTATTGATGTCTGGGAACACGCCTACTATTTACAGTATAAAAATGTACGTGCCGATTATGTGAATGCAATTTTCGACGTTGTGAATTGGGAAGCTGTGTCTAAACGTTTCGCAGATGCTTCGAGCTCAAAATAATAATAATTATATGTTTAATCATAGATATTAATGTTTATACTCGTTTTTTTAAAAAATATTTTAGTCATAAATTATAACTATAGTTCTTAAAAAAGTCTTAATAAATATAAAAAAATGCTTGAATAGGTTTTTCATTTGATTCACACAAAAATTACGAACACTATTGTGAGTATTATTATTTATTGTTGTTGGTAGATTTTTATTCTGACAACATGGTTCTATATAAATCATTTTGTTATTACTATTAATTGTGTTTCTATAGATATTCATGAATAAAACAACCGTGACTATTGAAAATAGTAAATATAGTATATAAGATAAGAAATTGAATTAAAAATGTTTCCGAGAAGAAAACGTATTGTCGTTAAAAGTAAGATTCGTACAAGAAATGTTTAATTATAATTTATCCATTTTTACAACTTGCAACAGTATTTTATTTAAAAAGGAAATATTGGGTTAACTCGAGAGTAGTGCTAGCAGTATGTTATTAGTTTAGGCACTTTAAATATGCAAAATAATGTCTATTGCTGAATCAAATAAGGGTAAAAGGGAGTTGGTAAAAACTCGACCCAGTTAGGAAGTTTTTTTTTGGACATATTATGTACATTCATCCAATTAAACCTTTATTTTTGGTTTAATATTTGTTGGGTTTAAACAAATAAACTGTTGTTTTATTCGCTACTCTTGTTCGAGTTACTTATTTACTCCTGGGGAGTTATAATAATTCCCAAAGACAAGTCACTTCTTTTATTCATTATCTGCAATACCGGTGTGTGTTATATTGTTGCATTCTACTCTATTCGACCTTTATTAGGTACAGAACTCGAGGCTTACAAAAGAAATTGTTCAGTCGGCCACTGGGTTATTGTCAAGGGCACAATAGTCGATTCACCTACAAGACGCAGTAAGACTTGGTCGAAAGTCGGTGATTTATTTATTTTTATTAAAATCCGGCTGTTTACGATGAATAATGGGTGGAATATAATAATTAGACATACACATTGTCAAATTGTTGGTATAGGTGGGCGACTCCCGGATAACTGATAGGAAAGTTTGGCAGTTTAAATTTTAATAATATTATGTTTAAGCCTGGGGGGGGGGCACAATCCCAAATTCGCCTGGACATGTTTGACAAGAAACAGCCGATAAAGGATTTGTGATGAGAGGTGTGATTTAATCACAGATACCTATCTAATGTGGGATTTTATTGGGATTTGACGATTTGATCTATTTAATCCGTCTTAATAGTGATCTTTTATCGCGCCGATCTCTTGTCATCCGGTCTCTTAATCTTAGATCGGCGAAAGGGAATATCGATCAACACGTCTAAAGCCATCATCCACGATTCATCGTTTTTGCCCTTGTGCCATTTTTTTTTTTTTTTTTTACAGCACTTTCCACCCTTTTCAGTCGTACAAACGCCGTTTGCCAAACGGTGCCTTTTACAAGACAAACGGCTTCGAGGAGTTTACGGCGGATAATATATTTGTCAACCACAATGCAAACCGTTCGATTTATCTGGACGTAACGGGATACGGTTATGTGCACGTCGAAGGAGAGTGTTTTGGAGAGTTTGACAAAATCGAAGGAATCGCCGCCGACGGCAATCGATTGCGCCTGTCGACAATGCGGACGTTCAAGTCGCTGAAGTCTTTGAGCTTGCGTGACAACCAACTGGAATCGATAGAACCGTATGTGAGCTGTGCACCTCCTCGCAGAACCGTAGCAAGTTCTTCTGGCGTCTGGGACAAATTTCAATATAATATGTGCCCTCCCCACCCCCCCCCCCCTTTAAAATAGTCGAAATAGTATTAAACGGAAGAGCGTTGTGCAAAAACGTAAAAAGTTTTTCGGTGTCACAATTATATTTTTTCTCCATTTGATTGCTGCAAAATTGCAAATAACATCCTCAAAATCAATGTCTCCGGCAACTTGACTTTTCGCAGATAAAATAGCCCATTTTGACAGTCGGTCCTGGCCCGTAGTTGATCTTTATTACATTTTAGCATATTATTATTTGACTTCATAAACACCGAATTTTCTTCTCTAGGGACAAACTAATATCTTATAAAATACACATAAAATACAAAATACGTTTATGTTTTAATTAGGCACTAACCGTATGTATGATGAAATAAAAAATGTTTTAAACAAACAAATTTAAATAAAGATCTGAAAGGGTCAATAATGTTTGTATAATATAAATCAGACTAGCTTTTAAGTATTTTTACTGAAGTAATAAGAATGAATAATTTACAAATAAAAAAAGTATTTAGTTTTCTTAGTATTACTCTTGTATTGACTGTATACTGATAAACATTATGAATTCTTATTTGTATTTTATATAGAAAAATTATAAGAACAAGGGGATTGCATACGGTCTGTTTTTTGACGATTTAGATCAAAAAGCCAGACAAAATTTCGACTACTTAGGATTGTCCGATTTCAATTCTGTAAAGACATTCGATTACGTTGGAAACTTTACTAGGTTATGTAGGAAACAGATTTTTTATTTTTTTCATGTAAAAAAATAGGGTTTTAATATTGGAAAAACTGCACATTTTTTTTTGTTTAATGTCGAGAAACTGAAATGTTTAAATTAAAATCGGCTTTCTTCATAACATAGTAAAGTGGCCAAAGTACTCTTCTAATCTCTTTACGGAATTGAAATTGGGCCATCCTAAGTAGTCGAAATTTTGTCTGGCTTATACAAATTAACCGGTTACCTGATTGAAAGGGTCGACATTTAAATCACTTTTTTCTTAAATATTGCCTACACAAAGCTAATTTTCTTTAGTCAAACAGTGTTGTGTGTGTGTTGTGTTGATGACAGCATTGGCAGCGAATTGGCCGACACTTTGACTCACTTGGACTTATCCGAAAATGCACTTGGTCCGGATGACCTTCTGCGACTTTCCACATGCCAATTGTTGCAATCGTTGACGTTTAGAGCCAACGGGCTGCAAACGATTCCTGAGGGCATTGCCGACGACCCGTGCTTCCTGTCACTGACCAGATTGGACCTGAGCGACAACTATCTGACCGATTCCAGAGCGGTGTACTTGCTTTCCACCCTGCACAATTTACAACACCTGTTGATGAGCAATAACCGTCTGACGTTCGTACCGTATTTGGTGACGGAACAAGTAATTATTATGACTTACTTTGAATTGATGAAAATCAATAACAGCCAACAGTTGGGCATTATTAAGTTAATATTTTTTTGAATCAAATTTTAGTAAATAATCATACCTACGAATAATGATTGAACTATCGTTTGATTAGAACAATTAGGAAAATTAGGAAACAAAAAAAAAACACTAAAAATTCTACACAGTTTTAAAAAAAAATGTTTCAAACATATTTTGTACATATTACTCAAGTTTAACTAGCACGGGTAATAATAACTAATAAGTGCATAATTAAATTAAAGAAAAAATATTTCTTAAATCACTAATAACTTTTTTCGTGCGTACCTACAAAAAAAAATAATAATAATTAGGTCAATATAGTAAATTTGATTAACTTTTCAAATTAAGAATGATTTACTACGAATTTTGACTGGTAGACAAACAGTTTTGAATGATTATTTTTAAAGTCATTAGAGTTTAAATATGTTAAGGGGGGAGGGGGAATGAGGTTTAGTATTGCGTTCAGATAAAAATAATTCCACCCTTTTACCCGTCCTTCACTTTGAATAATTTTAAAAGTATTCATTCAAAACTGGTGTGTTCACCAAAACCTTTCCAGAAAATTACACTTAATTTAAAAAATTTAGGCAGTATGTACGTTGCCACTTAAGAATCTTATATTTTTTTAGGGTTTTAACACTAACAATGTGGGGCGTTATATTGTTTATAAATATTTAAAATTTGAACTAACTATTAACTATAAAAGTGCACAAAAAAATAATTTTAAAAAGGTTAAACATTTTATAGAATACTCTACTACTACTGGCTCATAACTGTTAACCAATCAAATGGTAGGTTAGGTACATATAACGAAACCTAACGCGTTCTTATCATTGTTGAAAGTCAAGGCAAGTCCATTGTAAATCTCCTGACGGCCATGACAATGATACGGATGGCCGTGGAGGAGATGGCCAGGAAGAAACGCAACCCACCGTGTACGGGGAGGAAACCGAATATGCAAACCGTAATTTGTTTTATTATTTACCCTTAAAACAGTAACTATTAAAAATGATATTAATAATATATCATATTATCGTGTTGAATAGAATTTATCTATCACGTGTCGCATGTACCGTTCGTCAGTTTGACCGACCTAGACCTGTCCGGCAACTTGATCGATCGACCGTCGTCGGCGCTGTCGTTGATGTGTTGGCCGTCGCTAAAAAACATCATCATGACGGCCAATCCCGTTAGTTCCAACAGAAATTCATTTGAATTTGACATTTTGAAAGAAACCTTTGAATCGTACGACGTACAGTTAAAACGTTGATACGTGCGAATATTATTAAAAATAAATATTTACACAGTAAGATTGTCGCCACAAATGTTTTCTACTTACCTCCCCCCCCCACCCCTTAGATAGTACTTTATTCAAATAAAAAATCCGTAGGATGTCAGGTACATAGCTTGACTCTTGAGTAATTCACCCTGAATTTTCATTTTTAATTCGATAACAAGGAAAATTTGAATTTTTCATTTAAAAAACATTCTTTAAGCTAAAAATGATTTGAAAAATGATTTATTCATAACAATAACAACAATGTGTTATAATATTATAATATTTAGTTGTATACTAATAAATACTTAAATACTAGATGGGATAGGGTAAATAGTAATAAATAATTGTTGTTTAAAATGTTTATAATAATTAGATAGGTAGGAAAATTATTTTATTTCGTTCACGGTACCTAAGCATAGTTTTAAACATTTTTTATTAAAGAATACACATGCATATAATATGTATCTAGGTCTTAACAAAGAAAATTATCAAATTTAAATCGGGCCGCCTCGTCAATCCATTTAGAAGGATTAAAAACAAAAACTCTCACAATATGAACTCTTAGTTTTAACTAGAGACCTCTGTTTTCCTATTTAAATCCAAGTCTTCAGAAAATTGTAATTATTTACGAGACAATGAATGTCTGATATAGCGATGTCTTGGCCTTTTTCCCCTCTGGTGTTAATATTATATCATACAAAGTGTTAATTATTAATTCGAATGTTGAATTCAGTAAACTCCCTTAGAAATTTGATTTACTTTTTCTGGATGACTAACTTAATATATATTTTTTCTGATGAATGAATTTTACACTAAAAACTAAAAAATACAATATATAGAACCGTTATTGCTGCTTGGACAGTTGTCGTTCCATGTTTTCAAAGTATTCCCGAGCCATGGCGAAGTGTTCGTTTTGTTCAGCGTCAACGGATACGCTATCAAACCGTTTTGAACATTTTGCTACCCTTTTTTTGCGTTTTAACTTAATTTTGGAATCCAACAGTGTCAGAGCCTCTTGCAAAGACGACGCACATACTATGGCGTTCAGGTCGGATTCATTGACCGTGTAAATCCGGTCATCCACAACGGCCTCGTCGTGTTCTTTGATTGTGTCGTTACCTAGACATATTTTCTCGGTTTGCTCGAAATATTCTTCGTCCGACGATTTCACACGTTGTACAGACATTTCCACTTTTCGTATTCCATATGCCTTTTCCAGAGGTTGGTCAGAGCCGCCAGGCTGAAAGTCTTGGGATCCAAAACTAGTACTTATACTTAAATCTTTATCTAAAATGTCTGGATCGTAGTCCACGCTCGAGTTGCGTTTCGTTTGATCGGTTTGGTCCAGTGAGCTGTTGATGGATTCTAAAGATTCTTCCAAAAACTCTTGCAACGACAAACGTCTTCGTCCGTCAGTTGTTTCATCGGCATGCAATTTAGAAGGGGAATTTGTGTCAATACTTTCTTCTGAATTTTTTACCAGAGATCCGTCAACTAACTGAACAACTGATGTTTGATCGCTTGTTATATCAGATGATTTTGTTGATATTTCTACCACTGGACTATGTTCTGTCAGGTTTTCTGAAGTAGTTTGACTTTGCACTCGAGGTTTGATATCTATATCGGTCACATTGACGGTAACCACAGGATTCGATTGCTCTTCTGAGTAGTCTTGCAAAGATAAATGTTCATTATCATTTGTGGTATCTTCTGATGTTTTGAAATCTAAATTTTCTAAAATTCTATCGTCTACATGCGACTTAAATGTTACATTAAGGTCGCTTTTTTCTTTTTCGACGCAATCGTTTTCCTGATGGCTTGACTGGTTCGATGTTGAATCAGTGAAATTATCCAGATTTGATACATCTATGATTGCTTTATTAGTTTCATCCGCAATTTGGTCAGACATTAATTGGTTATCAAAAGATTGTAAAGTGTCTTCTAAGTATTCTTGCAATGATAAACGTCTCGCATTATTATTACGAATTTTTATACTCATATTTGACTTGGTAATTGGTACATTTTTTCGGGTCGACTCGACTAATGTTTCATTAAGTGAACATTTATTTAATATTTGGTTTGATATAGCTCGGACATTAGTTTTTGTTTCGTCCTTTATGTCATCAACATATATCGCGTTTTGATCAGACGAATAGGCATTCTTAATACCACTTGAAACTATTCCATCGTCTGAAGCAAAGTTATCACAAGTTTGATGTTCCTCAAAGTTAGGTATTCCACAAGCCTTCTCCAAAGGTTGGTCAGAGCCACCAGGCCGAAAGTCTTGGGATCCAAAACTAGTACTCTTATTTAAATCTTTATCTAAAATGTCTGGATCGTAGTCCACGCTCGAGTTGCGTTTCGTTTGATCGGTTTGGTCCATTGAGCTGTTGATGGATTCTAAAGATTCTTCCAAAAACTCTTGCAACGACAAACGTCTTCGTCCGTAGGTCGTTTCATCTGTATGCAATTTAGTATTATTTTCCCCATCGTCAAATTGTATTGCACCATCAGATAACCATTTTGAAGGGGAATTTGTGTCAATACTTTGTTGTGAATTTTGTACCTGAGATCCGTGATCTAATTGAATATGTGATGTTTGATCGCTTGTTATATCAGATGATTTTGTTGATATTTCTACCACTGGACTATGTTCTGTCAGGTTTTCTGAAGTAGTTTGACTTTGCACTCGAGGTTTGATATCTACATCAGTCACATTGACGGTAACCACAGGATTCGATTGCTCTTCTGAGTAGTCTAGCAAAGATAAACGTCCATTATCATTTGTGGTATCTTCTGATGTTTTAAAATCTAAATTTTCTATGATTCTATGGTCTTCATGCGACTTAAATGTATTTACATTAAGATCGCTTTTTTCTTTTTCGACGCAATCGTTTTCCTGCTGGTTTGACTGGTTCGATGTTGAATCAGTGAAATTATCCTGATTTGATAAATCTATGATTGTTTTATTAGTTTCGTCCGCAAATTGGTCGGACATTATTTGGTTATCAAGAGATTGTAAAGTTTCTTCTAAGTATTCTTGCAACGACAAACGTCTTCGTCCGACAGTTTTTTCATCGGTATGCAATTTAGTATTATTTTCAACATCGTCAAATTGCATTGTACCGTCAGATAACCGTTTTGAAGGTGGATTTGTGTCAATATTTCCTTCTGAATTTTGTACCTGAAATTCGTCATCTAATTGAATATGTGATTTTTGATCACTTGTTATGTCAGATAATTTTGTTAATGTTTCTACCACTGGGTTATGTTCTGTTAGGTTTTCTGAAGACGCTTGACTTTTATTATTAAGAGATTGTAAAGTGTCTTCTAAGTATTCTTGCAATGATAAACGTCTCGCATTGTGACTATGAACTTCTATATTAATATTTAAATCGGTATTTTGCACATTTTCTTGTAACGACTCAACTGATGTTTCGTTAAGCGAAAAACTTTTATTTAATATTGGGTTTGATAAAACTTGGATATTAGTTTTTGTTTCGTCCTTTATGTCATCAGCACATGTCTCGTTTTTATCAGAATAGGCATTTTTAATCTCGCCCGAAATTATGACTCCATCGCATGGATCAAAGTTTTCACAAGTTTGATTTTTTTCCAATTTAAGTAAAACTTGCGCCGCCTTAGAGTCTTGCACCGATGGTTCTTTTGGATTTTCAACGCAAAACACGTTCATAATAGGGTCGATTAGTTTGTTTAATTTTTTTCCAGCTGTCGTTTTTTCTTCAATTTTAGTGTTTTCGTTTTGAAGAGGTTCGATTTGTTTGTAGTTTTCTATAAATTCACACCCTGACACATCTTTCCCGTCATTGTTAGTTTGATCAATTTTTATTTCGTCCATAGAGACTTCACGGTATAAATATGCGTCGGAAATTGGCGTCTCTTCAGTTTCAAAACTTTCCGGGAGGTTTTTTTTTCTTTCCAAGTCATTTATTAGTTCGGAATTTATTTTCGCCTCAAACTCTGTCACATCTTGGGATATATCGTCGTATAATATATTTTCTACCTTTTCTATAATACTGTTTGCAGACATCTCAAGTGTTTCGTCGGTCACTAGTGTGTTATCTTTGTATTTTGTATTCGGTTCTTCGTCCCGCGTTAAAAATATTTCAGGAATATTTACATTGTCGATATTTTCACGAGTTACGAGCGATTCAATTTTCTCGCATATTATTTTTTTACTTTGTACGTTTTTTTCAATATCAGAAGATTTACGAACTTGTAGTTCGACAGAAATTTCTTGATCAATTTTTATTTCATCGTCTAACGTTACTCGGGTAGTATCATGGTTCAAAGACCTTTCTTTATTAGATTGTTTTGAGACATTCGTTTGAAATATTCTATCATCCGAGTTGTTTTCGTTTAGTTCATTAATTTTCCCATCCTTTGATTCGTGTTCTGTATTTCCCATTTCAAGGTCTGGTTCTGTGAAATTATCATCTAGTTCAGTTTCTATGTTTGCGCTATTAACATTTTCAATTGGAAACTGTTTATCTAATATATTTTCTACAAGACCCAAAGATGTGTTCTTACACTCCTGAATATTTTCCTCGCGTTTGTTATCAGTTGCATTAGGAAAAGAACATTCGGTGTGCTCGCCAAATATATCTAATTCACTGTTTTGTTGTCTAATCACGGGTTCTTCATTATTTGACTCTGAGTCTTTTGACACGTTTGTATCGCTTGGAGGTTCGGCATGAACTTCACTGTTATTAGCTGTCTCAGCCAGATTAGATATCTCTGAATAATCTTCTCCCAGTAGTTTTTCATTTTCATCTTTTGAATTATCTCGGCATACTTCTTCAACGTTATTTTCATTTATTTCAAATTGTTCATTTCCCTTTTCAACGATTTTCGAATCGCCGATGGATTTGGTAATTACTAAATCGTTAAAAATAGTTTCATTTGTCTGGTCGAAGTCAGATTGGTTGTTATCAATACGTTGAGAACTTTCTTCTAAATATTCTTGCAACGACAATCGTCTATTCCCATGATTCGGGTTTAAGTCGAATTTCGTTACGTTTTCTGAATTAGTAATTGTAGTCGTTGACGTTTCCTCGTCAACTATTCCTTCCTCAGTAGATACATTTTTGTCTTTGACACTACTATCGTTTGATAACGATTGATGTTGTTCTCTGTTTATAATGTACTTGGTATTTTCCAATTGTGTATCTTGTAATGTTGATTTTTTATCATCTGTCGACGGTTCACGAGTATAGTTTTCATCGTCGATACGTCCGTCATCGATTATTTTATATTTGACAGACAATTCGTTTGCCTCGAAAGATTCAGTCAGAGGTAAATTTTCAAGAAAGATACGCCCTTCGTCGTTGTTAGGTTTTATGTCGTGTGTCATCAATTTTTTGTCATCTATCGCAGAATCATTAATTTTATGGTCTACAGGGACGACAGTGTCTTTTGATGCATCATAATGTATTTGGCTTGCTATTTTTACTTCTATTTGATTTTCCGTTGTGCTTCCTGGAAGGTTGAAAGCTATTTCTTCTTTAATATCCGTTTCGATTTCACACGGCACCACAGTTTCTTGTTTCTTGTTATTTTCAGTGGTTTCAATTATTTGTTCACAATCTGCAATGCCATTAGAAATTAAACTTTTTTCTAAAGCATCTGTAATTATTTTCGAGTTTATATCCACTGTTTTGACATCTTCTACAGGATGTCGATCGTGAATAATTTCTGTTCGGTTTTCCATAATCGAATCCATTATACTTTTAAATTTTGATTGCATTTTAATATGCGCCCAGTTATTATTTTTAGCTTGTATTTCGTTTTTGATTATATGTAGAAAATGTTGAAAGTCTGTAATTTGCTTTGTACTCGATGTTTGTAATTCATTAACAGTGTCTTCAATCGTATCAAAAGGAATTTCACCGGAACATTGGGGCTTTAAACTATCAGCCATTTGCTCTAGTTGATGAAACTTGTCGTTTTTAATACTTGTAAATATCGTTAAAATAGTATTTATTATAGTATCCTTAAAACAGTGTATTGCAGGCTCTATCGCCTTTTCGATAAAACTCACTAAGTCATTGTTTAAGTCTGTATCGGTGGTTAAATTGTTATCTTTTATATAAACATTATCGTTTTTTTTTGGAATAGTCACTGGCGTTACATTTTCAAAATTATTAATTTTAGAATCCGAATTGGTTTCATGTCTAGTGTTATCTTTATTTTCAGTCGAGTTCGAAAGAGAATGATTCGCAATTTCCTTTGTATCAATATCTGATTTATTCTGATTGTTGATTAGTGTTCCGTTATTTGAATAAATAGTTTCCAAAGTCATAACCGGCATCACTCTGGTTTCGGTAATGCTTGGAATATTTGTTTTTTCAGCAGTAGAATCTTGTTGGACATTTTCACTTTCATTGCTTATAATAAAATCATCAGTCAAGTCTTCATGCGTGTTAGCGATATCGCTTGCTGAGATTTCAGCGGTAGATAAATTGCAAATTGCATTTACAGTTTGAATCTCATTTTCCGAACAATATTCTTTAGCCGATAAAGATTCCATTTGATTTATCGTAATGGGTTCTTGCTGCTTTTCACTACCGGAATCTGTTACGATATGTTTGGTGTCAGAGTCTGTTTCATCGATTGCACTATTATCGCTTGTAAAACCGATGTTTTCGACGTCGATGGAATTTGTATGGTTTGTGTTGTCGTTTTCATTTGGCGCCGGCGAACAGTCGCTATTGTGGTGTAAACACAGATTGTGAGCATCGCTCTGAATCTTGTTTTCTATATTAATATTGATTCTTATTGCTGGGGGAGTTTCAAAATTAGACGACTGGATGTGTTCTATGTCCACCGATTCGTCGTTGTACGTCACACGCACATCTCCGGCTACTATATTTTGCAGCATACTTAAAACTTTTTTACAACAATTTTCGCAAAGACATTTCAATATCTTCGACATTTGATCAGGCCAATCTGTTTCGTTCGCATTGTCCAACGCAATAACCGTTTTCCTGTCGTCGTCGTCGTCGGAATATGTCTCTTTGGTTCTACCACACAACGTGTCGTCGTTTCCTTCGGTTTGGTCAACCGTCAACTCTTGGCCATGTTCATCGTAGTATTCGATTATTTTCGTATCAGTAGTATCGACTCCGCCAGCTAGTACAACGCAATGCGACTTGTCGGAAATGTTTGTATTCTCTGTGATTTCTTTGTTGGGCCACATGTCTTTGTTAGTTTCAAAAGTACGTCTAACACTACAACTGCCGGTTTGTTGGTCGTCATTTACACCGTCGTGTTTCGGGGCACATGTATTCCTTCGGTTTGCATAAGTTTTCGATTCGAATTTCGTTACTATGGATCTGACGTCCGTCCGACCCTCGTACGTCTTGTCCTTTGCGGATAATCTGTTGTCGTCGGTGTCGTCACCGGTCGTCTTGTGTCGTGCCGTGTCGTGTCGAGTCGTGCCATGTCGTGTTATGTCGTGCTGTTCCGTTTCCGGCGTAGCGATGTTGGTTTCGGTCGTCTTACACCTCGCCGGTCTAGTGACGGTTTTGTACTTTTTGCCGCCGAACCGCAGCCTAGACCGACAATCGGTCGGGCTCTTGTCGGCCGACACGTAGTACGGAGACCGACATATCGGAAGATGGTCCTTCGACAGCGTTACCGTGTGTACGCCTTCGGACAAAGGCGTGTACGTCACTTTTATTCGGTCGTCGTCGTGCACGTAATCGACGGGGATCGATTTCGGTTGCATCGCGCTTGCTTTCGATCTCCGGCCTAAGACCGTGATCTTACCCGTTTCGCCTTTGCGACTTTTCAGTTCGACTACAATGCCGTCGAAGCTGTCATTGTACTTTGAGTATATGTAGAACTTAGATTGTCGACCGACCGTTGCCGCTATTAATCCAAGACCGCGGGCCACGAACGAATCATCGACCATGTACTCTTCGACTGTATCCAAATTTTGCTTTGGCCAACGAAAATCGGTCGAGTCCGACACCGGACTTATGTCTCCAATTAAAACGTCATCGTCCACTTTCGGCTCTTGCTCTGCAGATAACTGAAAAACAATTATGTATGTTAAAAAAACTAACGAGTGTCCACACTACAACCGGATGCATAAGTCTTTATGTTCAAGTAGAAGACCCTGGTACCACAGAACAAACAGAAAGGAAACTGTTCAATTTTTACATGGGCTCTTATGGGACGAGATAAAATCATGTCCGACATCTTGAATATGATCGAGAAATGGGCAGCGCTGATAGGTGTAGGAAAATTCTCATTTTTCGTTCATTCTGGCTATATTGTTCACTGCATAAACGAGGGAAATGCCGACAACATTGTTGTCGGCGTACGACATTTAATGAATGAACCAGTGTAGCCATAAGTCATAGAACAACTAAAAACAAGGAAATATCTGCGCTCTGGCATCACTGCCCATTTCTCAATATGTCTGACCATTTTTTTAATGGCTCTGTTTATTCTGTGCTGGTACTTTTCTTATCTCTAAGCCATTATCTCTATTTTTCTCTACTCTTTCTCTAATCTCTAATCCAATATCTCTATTTTTATCTCTAATCTAGTGTCTCTAATATCTTATCCCTAATACATTATCTCTATTGTTATCTCTAATCTCCCCCCTCCTTCCTCCGCCGCCGAGTGTGACATCCAGCGTTACGTTTTGGACAAATTTGTAGGACCTGACCCCCAGCGATAAATCATATACATGTTAAAATAAAGGCGACCAGAATAGCGAGGTCGAGGCGTAGTGGTGACGGAGTTTATTGGGGGGAGGGGGGAGATCATAGATCTACATAAATCATTATTATAACTAAAAGTGGTCACTTTTAAATAAACGCTTCGATGCGAATCTGTAGACGGTGTAATGTTACAAAAATCGATGATAAAATGGTTAATGCGAAAATGTCCATAAAAAATATTGTATACATTAAAAAATATACCCTTAAGCTAATAAACCTATAAATTGACTCGATCAAAATGTATTGAAACAACTTTTGTGTCAAATATTGCCTATATAAAACTCCTTAAAAACCGCCGTTTTCAAACCCCATGGCGGTATTTTCATTTTTGTTTTAATTTAATTTGAAATAACTAAAAAGTTAAAACTAATGAACTAATTAAATTAAATTAACTTTTTACAAAATAAGAGTCAGGCAAAATTGTTTCATAAACTAAATTTAAAAATATATGCCTCTTATGCAACTTATTTGGTAGCTTTAAATATATAATATATATATATATTTTAATATTTTTGTAATTTGCTGGCAAATTTTGGAGCTTAATTTGTTACAATATGATAAATAATTGTGAAAAAAAACGTTATCTTAAAAATAATATAAACATATTCGTTTATGATTGATATCAATAAATAATAAATATATATATCAATTTTATATTTAGGGTAATATTATGATGAAATTTAAAATATAGGGAGCAAAAAGGTCATTCCAAAATATGTATTGCCTGAGATATATCATTTTAGAGAAAATGGGATAAAAAAAGAGAACATATTATTTGTAACCAAATACCGTGAGAAATGAGACTACATTATTTATTGTTTTTTTTTCACTTACCAGAGGAATGTCAAAGTGTTTTTGAATCAGTTCTTGTACCCTAATAAAATTGTCCAACGCAATATTACCATCATTTGATATCGTGCCGGGTAATATAGTTGTATCCGCTGTGACAATAGAGCTGATATTTTCTCTGTTTGCTAAACAAAATAGGAAATAAATTATAAAATAACATTTGATATTTATATAATGCCATATTACTCGGATATAAATAGATTCTCATAATTAAAAAAAAATGTTTTTCCGTGAGGGCTGAGAAGTAGAAAATGTCTAGGTTGCTGTGAGTGAATGAATCAACAGTCAATCAGGTCATCAGAAAAACAGTTTCATTTAGTAGTTAATTGAAATGAATGGAAAACGGCGCAACAAATTATTACAGACAGACACCATCAACCCTATTCGTACCCACCATATATTGATTTTATCACTTTCAGTTATTTTTTCGTATATTTGTTTTTACTGATCGGACAATAATAAAGCTAGTAGTTCTCGTGTGTAGCGAGAAAAAAAAATAAGTTGTTCAATATTCGTACTGCTGCGTAATACCTAACAGCTTTTTTTTTTTTTTTATGGAAACACTGTTGTTCCCGCAGGCTTTTCAAACTTTTACAACTACCTTTTTGTTCGACGCTATGTGTACAGAAACACATTTAATGCTAAGAGAGCGAAACGAGGGCAGGTTGCACCCAAAGGGCTGACCTTCGCCTTTGTCGTATCCGTTAACAATGGTGGGTTATTGTAGTGTGTTCGAACTCGTAGAAAGCACAGTACTATAGTGCTACAATCATCATTTGTACAAACAAAATGTATACACCATATTCCATAATATATATGCTCAGAGCAAACATAAATATTGGATGTTCCTTATCAACAATAGCTAAAACGGCCCTTTAGAAGACATATATTCTGGCCAATATAAGGCGAGTATATTGTGTTAATCCTTTTGCATTAGAACACAAACGATTGTATATTGATTTTTACCCCTCGGCGTAGAGTATAGTGTAATCGAATTAAAATGTTTCTGGTAGTAATAAAATCAATATGCGTGACAGCCGAGCCTTAAACCTTTTTTACTTAAGGGCTTCGCTAAAGCTTAATTCAGCGAGAGGCGAATAAAATACATTACAGTATATTGCTCAAGCATTCATTGGCTAAGTATGTATACATTTTACTAATGTAATGTATGGAAAAGTAAAAAAAAATATTTTTTAATAGAAATAAAGTCCCAAAAAGTAACATTTTTATTGTGCAAATCATATCACAATATAATTAACTTGGTTTTATTGGAAATAGTACATTTTAATCTAAACCCAGTTTTTGAAATTTATTTCCTTTGATGAATAAATTAGTTTCAGTTAGCCAACTCGATCAAATATTAATATTAAAACTTTTGATCAATACCAGAGTTGGTAGGTGGTTTGTATTGTAAAAAAATAAATCTATAACTTACATTTCAAACGATTTTTGATCCAACAAAACAAACGATTCAGCAATTGACAAATAAATATAACCACGGCAACGAGACATGTTAGAATGTCTTGCAATTTTCTGTGCTCTTTCATAATATGTTACACATCAGTCAGACTCTGCAAAACAAACAATAAACAAAATTTATGATTATAATTCTCAATTGTGTACATGCGCTGTGTTTCCAGCCATGTGATTATGCCGAGCGAGCACTTTACAAACTCAAGTTGTATATTTTATTCATGTGTTGAATCTATATCGTTGTCATAAAAAAAAATGGCTCAAACACACTGGTAATGTAATGATTCTACTGGATTAAATTAGACGTTGTTTAATCTCCATAGAAAAGTTGGAAAATTGCAAAAATTCGCAGTTGCTATGTTATTTTATAATCTTAAAAGCTTACAAAGTTGTTTGCAAAACTAAAACTTTAACGTAAATCGATAAATACATTGTATATTCAGTTTCTGTAGTGTTTGAACCGATCAGGGCACATTAGTACCAATTTACCGTGTAGCAATAAATGGAATGTAGCAACGCTGGTGGATACCAATAGAAGCGAAAGCTTGCGTATAAACTTAAAAAAGAATGGTAGATTTTGCGCACGGACAAAAAATGAAAACGGTTGAAAATGTTTACAAATTGTTGTACTCAGACAAACCGTACGGGAGAGACTGCATTGGAATGATACTGAAATGATAATAAAAAAAAAGCAACGGTACTTTTTCTTATTGAAAAAGTAAAAAAAAAAAAACAATAAAGTGTATATTATGCTCCTCGGCGTAAATGTTTTAAAAGAGAAAAAAGTGACATTTCGGTTGAAGTAGTCCAGTTTTATAAATAGTTACAATAGTTGTAGTGGGAAGATATTTAAATTTAGGAAATGTGTTGGTAGCAAGATATAAAATGGTCAATGAGTGAGTAATGTACAAAGAAAATTAGGGGTTCTATGATAACCCTATTATGGTTCTTCTCAAGAAAAAAATCGTCAAACGATACTAGAAGACTGTGTTTAAGCTGATCAATCTCAGTAGCTTCTATGTCGAAAGCTAATAAAAGCTATAATCTTTATATAATAAATGATATTATAAATCCTGGGGTTAATCAATCTAATTTCACTCAAATCCTATTCTCTCTCCTTCAGAATACCTGCCCTCGAATATTATTAAACAGAATAAATATACCAACCAACAATACTGTGAATGACTTAGGAATAACAGATTGGCACATGTGTAACATGGGAAGCCCGTGTTAAAATGAAACGCCATTCACTCAGCTTCATATACCGACAGCTATTTCACCTCCTTTCTCATCAAAAACTCAATCTTTAAAATCATCCTGTAACAACTTTCACACAAACCAATCTGAACGTACGGTCTGAAAATTTGGGGCAGAGCAAAAAATCCAAGTATTCCAATCTAAAACCCTAAGAGTAATCGCTAAAGCCCCTCGCGTGTCTCCAACAAAACTATCCACTCTGACCTCAATATCACCAAGATAACCAACCAAGCCTACGATTGCTACCTACGATTCCTTTCCAAACTGCCCAAAAACCACATCCCCGCAAGCCCTCCCCGTCGGGCGAAATTGGAGCAGAGATCTCTTAAGTTAATCAACTAACTGTAACTGGGTAACAGTTGTCTTCTTTTAAGAGTTTCAAAATAAATTGTACATTTCAATCTTCACATAATATACTCATTGTTCAAATTGCAACAGATTGTATATATATATATATATATATATATATATATATATATATATATTTTAGAAGTGGTCTAACATTATATAAACCAGTGTTTTTAGTTTACGGAAAGTTGTACAATTCATTTGAGTTGGGCGCACCGCAAATGTTTGCCAGCTAAGCCGTTGCCGCCACCCTTTTTTGCAACCCTTTTCGCATTGAGCCCTTTTGTGCGTCAGACGCAACACGTGTGAGGTATAAATTAATTCGTTGATTTATTTATTTTCTCATTTCAACGTTCGCCACGCAACACTGTCTAATTCTGTAGGCGTTTCGATTTTACACCGTGTTTACACGTCAAAAGAAATCGTTCCATTCCTGCCACACACGTGTCAAGCAGATATTCGGCCATGTGTATTCGTGCATTTCTCTCACAAAATCCGTATCTGTGTAACAGGGTCAGCATTCCGGCACTGCAAAAATATGATTTCTGACTACCATGAGTCATGGATGCTTCTCATCCCTTAGAAAAACGTCCAGTTTTTAAAATCTACGGATGAAAGGTAAAACTATTCCCCCTCCCTCTGTCATTCATCACATACAATTCATACCTATATGAAAATTATTGTTCTAAGAAGTAAACTTAGTCTAATTTAAAAACAAGCCAGCACAGTCGGTGTAGTCACAGGTTTTCATGAATTATTATAACTTAATGCAATGAAATCACTTTGATGCGAATGTATACTCTATATGTGGTAGAAATTTATTTAAAACTGTTTATTCATTGTTACATAGTGACTTAGAAATGTACTATAGTTTTCCTTAACACAAAAAAAGTTTAACTACAGGTTTTTAAGAAACTCGTATAATATGTTAAAGTCCAACTAGATCTGCCTTCAGTCTAATTTTTACCACTCGAGTCATAGAACTACTAGTTAGGTTTAAGTAATTATAAAATGTGAAAATCGTTTAATCACACTCAAAAGTTTCGATGCTAAATAGTAAGAGACGGGCACAGTTTATTTTAGTCATAGTCTAAATTAGCACAGATCAAACCAAGCGATATACTGCTTGTATAAAAACAACTATGTCTTGTAATTGATTAAAGTACTTTATATGTACTTTAGCTATGATTTCATAAAACGTCTGGACAAATGTTTGAACGGTGTGATAAAACCGTTTACATAGAGCTGCGCACAAATGTTTGGTAACGTTGCAGATGCTTAAGCATCAGTACTTAAGCAAACAATGTGTGCGTGACGTTGGTTTTTCGTGCAACACTGTTATCTAAACTATACGTTGCACGATTCAAAATATTATATTCTGTTCGGTCAAGTGAAATCTTGTTCAAGTCCAAAACGTTTAGGATGGAAAAAAATGCATTCATAATGATTTTAATTTTGTTGGTTTTGACATTTGGTTTGGTTGGGTCGTGGCCGACGAAGAAAACGGGAAATCACCGCTCCACCGTCTACTTCCCCAGGACAGTCTTAGCAAATAAAAATTTGTCAAACCGACCCTTAGCAGGTCGTGAGCAGAAGAAAGAGATAAGAATGTCGAGTACATGCTTGCACAACGGGACAAAATATGTATGGGCCAATCCGACACAAGCTCAAGCCGACCTGGTCGACGGTGTTATTAAAGAACAACATTGGCGGATGGTGTGGTTTACATGTATGTTTGATAAAAATAATCATTGGATGCCCGTAAGGCGTTTACTCGATCCGCGGTCTGGACTTGGAACGGCGATTAAGTTGCAAATGATCCCCAAGATGATGGGATGCCATTACGGGGTAAGATTTTATTGGTATCTCTCGTCGGCCGTTCACGTTGTTGGTCAGTGCAATTATTTGTCTGGAAACGACCAAACCGAAGACTGTTGGAAGACGGTCGGACAAGGTCTCCAGGGAGGTTCGTTTACCATGTTTAAAGTGCTGAGCGCGTTTAGGCATATCCATTGTAATGTAACCGGAGACAATGCCAATGTCGATAGGTTCTACCGGACTACGATGAACATTGGAAGTTTTCTCGGGCAAGGGGACGTGGCGGAATTTTCCTAGTGTCTCACAGTCATTGAACGAAGCTATTGGTTCCTTGAAGACCCAGACTTAACTGTTTTAGTATTTTAAATTGATTATTTATTTATTTTTAATTTGAGATATTTTTATTAAGCATAAATTGATGAGAATTTTGACTGGTCGATAAGCAATTTTGGATAATTATTTTTAAAGTTATTTAAGTTTAATGTTTAGGATCAACAATTAAGAAAAACATCAAAAATTGTTTAATAATTTTTAACTTAAAATTACAACGATCAATAACTTTTTTAAAAACAGTAGAGTTAGGTCCAAATTTGTGTGAAATATTTTTCAGAAATAGTTTTATCAATATACGTTGATCCTTTCCTCTAGATTGAATGAAAGCTTTTTCTCCATTTCTCTTTTTCGAGGTAAGTTTTAGGACTTAAGAGCTGCAAATTAGATTGAAAGCAGATATAAAATGTAGCCCTCTAACACGTTCAATCTTTTATTTTATTAAGAAAACCCCGTTGTAAATGTCTAGGTAGCTATATTTAAGTGAATTTAGGCTGATTATTAGTAGGGTTGATAAATGAGTATTAGGGAGGATACGATTTGGGTTAATCCTGATAATCGAAGTATAATGTTAGGGAAATTATGTGTTTTACAATGCTTTTGTGGATTTTTTTTTATTCCTACCGTCTATAGATTCACATAGAAGCGTTTGTTTGAAAGAGATGTCATCACTTCCAGTTACAATAATTTCTGTAGACCTGTGTGATCTCTCTCGTCTCAATATTCTCCGTTCCCACTATACCCTGAACCCGATTTATCGGCTTTTTTTAGTACCTTTTTAGGGGCACTCATTTTCGCGGGACTCTAGTAAACCTCGTGTCTATTTCCTATTCGGCGTTGGCTTCACGTCGTACAGGAAATCGATGGTACTCTATATAATAATACATCTGTATACCTGTACATCAACAGCAGCTGCCGACGGTTAAATTGTTCATTGGCTCGGCGCAAAGAAGATCAAATACGACGATTGGACGCGAGGCAAAATCAACTCTACTGTCTGTCTATACTGTACGAAGGTACGTGATCTGCCAGCAAAGTGTTTGTTCCAATTAACGTGTACCGTCCGGGTTAGAGACGTGGTGTACTTTTATTTCATCCGTGCCGGTGGCGGCGAGTGAAAGAAAGGAAAAAAAAATACCTTCGTTTTGCATTTCAATTTACCTACCGTTTCCCTTTCCGCCCCGGAAGTACTGTTGTGAATGTTAACTCGCGCTGATTGTGAAATACACACACATAGAGAGAGAGAGAGAGAGAGAGAGAGATAAATGAAAATTAGTATCGCTTCGAATAAACCGGGGAAAAAAAATTCACTACGAAATGCCTAATACAATTATTGATGCCTTCGCAGACGTCCCGGGCTCTCGGACAACTTAGTTACAGTATAATATTTACCCGCGTTATCGACCCGTCTCTTTGATAGAAAAAGAATAAACGAAATTGAGTTAAGTGCAATTAAACTAGAAACCAAAATGTAATCTATAATCCGTACGTGAAATGCAAGTTTATTAGACAGAAAATTAAAAAAAATCAATCTCCTTCATCCTTATTAAATTTCTATGTGTGGGCAACAAAAAATGTGTATTTTTGCTTATGTGATTTTTTATGTAAGATTGTTAGCTGTTTTGGGACGACCAAACAAAGACATATTTCGGGTTTAGTTTGTGACCGAAAACAGTTTAAACTTTTTGATAAAACTTAGATTAAAAATGTAATAATTTAGTAGATACTAGCCTCCGAGTTCGCATGCTGTATTAAATGAAAAAGGGAGAAAAATGAAAGAGATCATATCCACGGCAACGTCGCTGGTGTAATTTAAAAGTAAATGCGCTTAAATGAAAACGGAATAACAAATCACGGCATTAACTGAAAGTGTACAAAGTGTGCAAGCTTTGTTATAAGGAGCTTATTTAGCTCCTCTTTCAACGACAATCTCGTGTTAGTCGTTCGTCAGCTGTGTGTCTAAGTGCAATATCGTGTACTACTATTCTGGCAGGTATTTTATAAAGACGGTATTATAAAGGATTTTTCTCCTACATATACATATGTAGGTACAAATATTATTATCTAAACGTTACCCGAACAATATGACACTGCTCTATTATAAAGTAAGTTCTGCCTTTGGCGGGAGAATACAATTTCATTCTGTTGATATTTACCACAACTCTTTTGACATCAACACCACCATAAAGGAATATTAGAGTGTTTTAGTACTATAATATATATATATATGTTTAAATTGCTGATAATACATCCGGTTATTGCTCTTATTGCTTTTTAATAATCTTTAGCATCCACTAATAATCACAAATCGGATCAGATACAGCCGAACCCAACACACGTTTGTTTGGAAATGAACATTACAACATTATTATTATCTCTAAACAAAAAAATCGCTAAAAAGAATTTTATACAGTTTTCTACAAGTTATTTTTTAGGTATTAAAATTAATTAAAATTCTTTGTGGCTTTTATTTGTTGGCTAATAATTGTATGTGTGCAATCTAGATATTTCCCCAGTGTCTTACTTCTCAATTTAATTAAACAATATTGTCTACACATTGTCCGTGTATGTTGCCAATTCAATTTTATTTTTTGGGAGTCAATTTAATGCTCAATAGGTGCATTTATCTAAAATTGGGAGTAAGTTTGGTGAAATGACTTTTAAAAGGTAGTCTTTGACCTAGTGTAAAAGATTGAAACCAACCGACTTATTTATTTGGGACAGCTATAAGAGTACAAAATTTACTATAAACTTACAACAACTGGGAAGGAGGGGCCGAATCTAGTGTCTTGAGAACGTTCTATTAGGAGATAGGAGATATATGTTTAACAGGAGGGATTACACCATGGGGATTAGCTTGTTGAGGCAAAAAAAAAAAAAATAATAATGATTTGTATACGTGTTGGGTCGTTGGGAAAAAAAAAATCAACCACGCTCCTTATGTGATGTTTTACATTCCTCTTGGACGCGTTTATGTTATACAGGGTGATCCATCCCTGTATAACTATACATCCCAGTAAGATACTCTTTTTTCGGAAAATATTTTTGAAAATCATTTTTTTTTTCTACACTTGTTTACTACATATTTCACTATACTTAGAAAATGTTTACCTTTATAACATATGGTTTTTTTCTTCAAATGGGAACATATGTTTTTAATTCTTTAAAATATAAAATGAGAATAATTTTGAAAAATTATGGCGATTGAACTTTGAATTTTCATCAGTTTGTTTGCTATGATTTTGTGCGGATTTTAATTTAACATAAATATTCGTTTGGTTTTCACAACAGTTTCCTATTGAATGATAACAACTAAACATATACTTTTTTACGCCCAACCGATGAAATCGGACATTTTTTAAGTATTGAAAACTGCAATACAAGTATGGAAAACATATATTTTTTTTTTAATATTTATATTTTCCGAGAAAACGAGTGTCTTACATCGGATGGAACATCCTGTATTATTACAGCTGTTGTTGGACCATCCGAATGGTAACTTCCGGAGACGTCCCGAGGGTCTATTTTCGAAACAACCGTGAAATATTACCATAAACGCAGTTCCTATCGCTTTGGCCGGGGTTTATTGGTATGCCGGCCGTGTAGGCATCATATTATTATTATATACGTGCCCGACGAAGGTATGTTTTGCATTTCTAAAAAAAAGGGTACAAGGAATCCAACATACTGCGCCATTTTTTAGCTGCGTAGCTGAGAAAGTATTGTTTTTTAAAATATAGTGCCAATAATCGAAATATTCATGTCTTGTAAAATCCAGAGTTTGTGTAAATTTCCCTTATGTTTAACAAAACATGATATTCTTATAGATTTTCAATTTGTTGTGCACTTTAAAAAAAAATATATCAAAATATGAGTTGAAAATGTTATTACATTAGAGGTACAAATTCCAAAATATGTATTATGAAATATTTTTCTTCTGCTGAATTTTGAACTGACCTCATAATTAATATACAAGAGCTGACAAAGCTGGCAAGAAATAATATATATTTAAAACAATTTGTTTTCAAAAAAGTGGTAGTTTTTTAAACTTAAAAAATAACCGCACGTGGTATAACTAACCGGTGTATTGATATCGGTTGTTAGCTGATGTCATTTTTGATTCGGTTCCCAACCACTTGGCTGTTGTCTAACCTAGCCTAACCTAACCTATTATTGTATGATTTCTGTATTTGTTCTACCTTAATTTTTACCAAAAACGGTGGTTTACATATATTTTGTATTGGTTTTTATATCGCTGACCCAAATAGACGAGTACAACGTTTCTCAATTAAAACATAGTAGTACATCTTACCGAAATCGTATAACTATTACCTAATACCGTGCAATCAATACTCGGTCACGTATCTGATATTATATACGGGGTGATGCATCCGATGTAAAACACTGAGGAAATTAGTGTCATACATTAGATGGACCATACTGTATTATATTTTTCCTACTGTCTTCGAGAAACGCTCGAGCGACGATAATAATATTATATAATGATCGATCTGCGTGTAGGCATTTAAAAACAAAACAAAAATTAAAGACGAAGTATTAATAAAAACAAAAATTGGCGCAAACGTGTATGTAGGGGAAAGCTATTAATAAATTAGCATGCAATGTCAACAACAGAAACGAGATGAAAAATTGTTTTCGCTTCCATTGCCAGTCCGACGCGATACTTTGTCATAATTATTACTCCAGGAAGTATAGTAAGTATGGTACAACATTGTAGTTACGACGCCAAGAGAGTCATAAACCGTACTTGAACAACAGCTGGTGTAATGCTGTATAAAAAAAAAAATATTTTATAAACCCTGTAGCCTAAGTGGTACACGCATAAAAAGTATACGCACCGTTTAAGTCGTTGTAAGTATAATTATCATTTAGATTTACGGTTATGCATACTTAAAAAAAAATTCCTTGTTTACAATAGTCAGTAGGGTAGTCCTTGTTTTATTTTCTTTGTACACGACCCTCTCGGTTTATTTAATATTTTTAAGTAAGTATTTCAAATTTCAACATTAAGAGTACACGCCACAAAACCTTCAAAATGCCTATTAGCTGTGTTATAGCTCCATTCTAGATCCACCTATAGTCAAGTTCTCGCACCTTAAACCTTAAAACTACACCTAAGAAAGCTAAATAAAAAACCTCTTCTACAGGAATGGGTTTATCACAGTTTTTATTTTTTTTTGTTCCGAGTACTAAGATAGGCATTTTCAAGTGTCGCTGTTCATTTGTAATTGGCTTACTTACTTTTACAGAACTGTTGATCTTTAACTTAATCTACAATATCATCTTTTGTCTCCATTCTTTGACCGTGGCAAGCCAAATGGTCTGCCTTTTCATTTTATTTTCACATGGAAGAAATCTCCTCCTTATCCTTTCTAAGAACTGGCCACTATCTTCTTCCTGCACACACCTCTTGTCCTTTGCAAGTCCCTGACAATCAATGATTTTTCTCATTTGATTTTCTCCTGTCCTCTTTTTTTTCCTAGTTATTTAGGTGTAAAATTCAGACCTAATGTAGATCTCGAATGCGCCTATAATATGTACGATTTTCTCAACAAATCTGAAGTCAAACTTTAAAAAATAAAAATAAGGACCATCCTATCGGGTGTGTGTATTGAATGTTCATGGAAAACTTACCGCAAAGACGTGTTGGCATGCCGGTCCCGTCCTTAACGGCCTGACGCCGGTCGACTAATTGTATTGCGTTGGATGGCTAGTATGGCTATGATGTATTAAGGGCAGGTGAACGAGAAACCCTTTTAAAACACTAACACACATGACATCTACCTCCACCCTTTGGGGGAGACGGCCGAGGGAAGTGGCTGAACATATACAGTATTGCCAAGTACATAATTTATCACCACCGATCCACACCCGGCATCAAGTAAATAACAGATTGTAATTGATATGGTATATATACAGGGCGATCATTTTATCGTGAACCACTCAATATCGCATAGGGTATAATAAGAAATTAAATCATACAACGTGATCTCGATTTTTCACAATTTTTTATGTTCCTAACGCCCTCCCAAACTAATTATTGTTTTATTAACTTTATAATAACTTCAAAAATAGTTGTTCAAAACTGGTCATCGACAATTTAAAAAGGTATGTATGCGTTATAATTTAAGTTTGAAAAGTTGCTATCAAAAAAACCAATTTGGGGAAAACAAAAAAAAATGTCTGAACATTTGATACCACATTAAAAACACTATTAAAAAAAAACAATTTAATTTCTTATTAAACCCTATGAGATATTGAGTGGTTTACGATAAAATGATCACTCTATACGCTGGACTGTCTGAATTTCATGGAATAGTATTTTTTTTTTTCAAAATTAAAATAATAATGTTAGCTTAAAAAGTTTCTAATACAATTTGTATTTTATTTCAAAATAAAAACCAGTATGTAGTTCAAGCAAAATGCAGTACAGTTAGGTTTAACTATAATTACAAGTTTTACTCAGCTTAAAACATTTGATATTATTTTGTGAATTTTCTTAACTATGTCTGTAACCCATACGAAATAATCATATTATAATTTATGGTTTATGATTACTATTTATTATTCCGTACAGACCAATAAACTACTGGTCGCTACCGATTTTTGGCACCGTGTGTCTGCCCTTGTTGCAAGATGGTTCATTAAGGATAACTCGCTAATTTTCTTTTAAAACAATTGCAGTTTTCCTTTTGTAAATACTTTGTTTATGTTCAAAATATTAGACAATGTTCAAATTTTTATCTTTTAAACCTTAAACGGCAATAAATAAATTTAATTTACTATTTTTAAATTAAAAAATAATTTGCTGAAAATGTTATAATATATTTTCATAAGGGTTTCTATGTGTCCTTGAAATCAACTTGTTCGAGGAAGATTTGACTTTTGTAAATATCTTTTTGGGGAATTTTAAATGCTGTTAAAATAGAGTTCAATAGACCAAGGCTTTCAAAATATGAAAACAGAAAATAGATAAGCATGGATATTTTTTTTTTTTAATTTCTAGATGGAGTAAATTCTTAACCACAACAATAATACTCCATAGCTAATATAACAACAAGTGTTGCTCGAGTTTGTTCGAGATTCTATATTATGTAACTTAAGGGTTTTAACTGTATTTATACCTTCCCGTATAAGCCCTGATCGTGAAAATTGTGTCGTTCATCGTAAAAGTGAATTATTTCCTTGAAATATAATTTTGAAACAACGAGATATTTGTAAACTAATGTGTAGGAAGAAAAATACAAGTATTTATTCGGTGTTTTATATTTTTGCACTTATTGGAGTTTCTTCTCATTTACAATGAAAAAAATATGACTAAACGTGTGACTCCGTTATGGGAAAATATGTAAATTTTAAAAATGTTGGAGTTACACCGCTTTTACAACGAACGCCCGTGTAAATATTTTATTATTTCGCTGGATAGCAATATGTTCAAATTTAATGACAGTTTTTTTTTACTTGGCGGCGGTGAATAAAAAAACAAGCTGAACGTTTTCAACTGCGCATTTATTGTTGTCGTTATAAAGTATTGTGTCATGTTAATGGTTTTGTCGTCAACCGACGGAACATAATTTGACAACGGTAAACGTACACTGTTCGTTCCTTTGTGAAATATTTAACGAAAAAGCCCTTCTCTCTCTCTCTCTCTCTCTCTCTCTCGTTGCTACGTGACTTCCAGTGGGTTCGGTTACTAAAAAAAAGTTTCACCGTTTCCCATTGTCGTGACATCATCGTTTCTTCGTTTAAAACGTTTTCGCCAAAGTACTTGGGAATAATATTATAATTTCGCCCCTAGCCCGTTCGCCGTGCAAATGCGGATAATATCTGCGCAGCGATGTACCGACTCCTTAACGGAACAATATCATTATTGTGTTCGGTAAACAGCCCCATTGGAAAATATTAATAACAACAATAATATTACACACACAGCGGAATGGCTTCGCGCATTATCCAATTTGCAAGAGTTGCACTGCGAGGCCAAATCAATAGCACCGCCGCCGGTCGTTACGTACGGTCATTGCATTTCGAACGTTATTATAATATTAGGTACATTATAATATTATATGCAGTTCGTTTGCAAAACACATCAATGTCTTACGATATTTTATAAATCTTAGAACCTAACCTGACTTATAATTTTTAATTTTGTTAAACTAGAAATGTAACGGCATGATACATCGAGTAAACGAGTAACCTAATAGAATGACGAATAAACAAAAACAAATAAATGAGTAAATCAGTAATTAAATATAACGTTTATTGGTTTTGTTATGTACACCTAGTGACGAGTAAAAAAAAAAATCGAGTAATCGAGTAAGTAAATCAGAACAACAAACGAAGTAGACGAGTAAATAAATAGAATAATTGAATAAACATAACGAGCAAATAAATTAAGATAGTAAATCAAGTTAACCGTTAAACGAGTAAAATAATCAGGATAGTATAAAAAGGGTTAACGACCGAATAAAATAAGTTAGTAAAACGAATTAAACAGTAAAAAAATTAAATTGACGAGTAAATAAAACGAGAAAACAAGTAAAAAAATGTGTTAACAAATTGAGTAGGAAAATCAGCATAATCAATAATTGCACTGAATAAATAAATCAGATATTATAGCAAAAAAATATATGATAACATTTTTAGGCTTTGTTAAATTAATTGAGGAAACCAACCAAAAATATCGAGCAAACAAGTACAAAAATCGCACAACAAATGGAGTTAACGAGTAAATAAATAGAAAAAACGAGTAAACAAATCAAGTAAATAAATCTGGAGAGCAAAACGAGGTAACGAGTAAATAAAACAAATTAACAATCTTAATAAATAAATCAAATAAACGAGTAAACATATTGAGTAAACGACTAAATTAATAAACAAATAGAGTAAACGAGTAAATAAATTTAATACAAATGCAAGCAAATCGAGTAAATACATAAATAATTGAAGTAAGCTAGTAAATAAAACGAGTAAACAAATAAATAAATAGGTAAGCTCGAAGCAAAAAATCTCACTACGTTTTTTAATTGACCCACAATCTAAAAACATAACCAAATAAAAATAAACCCTTAGAACTAAAAAAAAAAAATAATCTTCGGCGTTTTTTTTGAAAGGAATGTTACCACCAACAGAACACACAACAGACTGAAGGCAGAGTTAAAATTTAATTTAAAAAAAAGTTAAAATTAAGCATTACAATCTAACTGATTATTATGCAACGACTAAAATCTGTATAACTATATCATGGTATGGTACAGTGTACTTGTTCGGCAGGCTGCTATTATTATTTTATTTTAAACTATAAATTATTAAATATAGTTGTGCGTTTTATTATTTCTATTGGCATAGAATGTAATAATAGTACTTGGTCGACATACATGACTAGTAATGGGTTCAGCATCAATTCGAATTTATCGTATGCAATAACAATAGTGTAGTTACAGTAATTATTGTTAGTAACATTGATGACCTTAGCGTACAATATAATCAAAATGTCATTAATATTTGTAATATTAACCAAAGGCGAATAAAAAAATTTTTTGCATTATTAGTTATTTTGGAACTTTAAGGAAGTGTTAGATTTTTTTTAACTGCTATTAGTTTTATATCTTTCAACTAAACAAATCATGAACTTAAAATTATTATTAGTAGCTGCTATTAGTGTCAGTAATGGCGAAACGACCACTATGGATTTAAAACCAAAGTTTCTACCGAATTTACCTGCAGTAATATTTTAAGTTATTCATTATGCATAAAAAACCAAAACAGAACATAAATCTATTTTATATAATATTTATTTTTCAGGGAGAGTATCGAATCAAGCATAAGTACTATTCGTCGTGTGAACCCACTGACAATCATTTGTTGAAGTTTAATATATACTTAAGCAGAAAATCACCGACTGTGTTGGAAGTAAAAGGCAACCAGACTTTTTTGATTCCGTTCGACAATTCTTTAACAGTGAATAAAATTATATCGTTTAGAACATTAGTCCATAATATGCAATATCTATGATTTTTGTTTATGCACTAAAAAACCTCACCGGGAATTTGAGCGATATCTACATAAAATGTTTTCTAGGGCGAGCAATAATCCGACAATGAAATTAATTTTCTACCTAAACACATGAATACCCTTTGTTATTAACAGTTGTTCTTAGGGAAATATGTAATAAACTATTTCAGACAAAAGTTATTCCTCCCGTTTCCATAAAAATAATGTATTTTATTTCATAGATATCGGTTGATTAGTTTAAACTTTAAGTGAAATTTACTATAAGTGTTTTTATTTTAGCTACAATGCAAAGCTGAGAAGGTACTGTTCTTACAAGATGTTAAAATGATTTTGAGAAACAGTAAACTTTTAACTTTTGGCTTAATAGAGTACCTTATCTTAACGATTTCTGATCAATAGCTGGCTACATTCTCATCTCCACTACACTCATTCTCTGTTCTGTTTTATTATCAACTGCCCAACATTCCGGCACATATAACATTTCTGGCCTCACTACCGGCCTATAAAATTTCCCTTTCAATCTTATAGGCATCCTCCTGTCACACAAAACACACGAAGCTTCCCTCCACTTTACAATTTATGAGATAATTATTACAAGATAAAAATAAAAACACATAATTTTAAATCGTAAAGTATCATTGTAAAGCCAAACATTTAAAATACTAATACTTAAAATAATATTAATAATTGTAATAAATATAATAA